CGTCAGCTCGCTGGCGCGCGCTTCTTTCGCAAATTTTAATGCCTCGCTCTCGCGCTGTACACGTCCTTGCATTCCGTAACAACGCCGCGCTCTAGCTTCTGGATCTCGCTGCGCGGCTAATGCCACGCAAATTTGCGTAGTTTAGCGCGCATTGCAAAAAAAATCCAATAAAATAAAAAGACGCGAGCGCATAGTCGAGACCGCTACCAGCTATGCGCGCACAGGAATGAAGAAATCTCTGATTACATAAAGGCGTAGAAGCTAATCACATCCGTGTGCGTGTGCGCGAATATAAAATTCTTATCAGCTCTTAATTATCTAAAGCTAGCCGAGAGACAGAGAATAAAGAGAGAGAGAGAGAGAGAGAGAGAGAAGCTTGCGTAACGAAACAATGATTTTGCGCCTTAGGACAGCGCTGACATTGAAAACCTTTGACGGGCGACCGGTGACTCGTTAAGTCGACGGAGATTCTGCATGCGCGACGCAACTTTCGCCCGACACACGCGTTTACATGGATCACTTTCTAGATGGGTGCCACGGTTGATTGGCTCCACGCTAGCTGCGACACGCTATGATGCGTCGCCGCGATTCATTGTCGTACGGCGCTCGACCCCTGCGATCGTTTCCCTCGATTAATGACGTTCGGCTCGCAGATCGCTTATCGGTGCGAGATTATATTGTTTTCAAAGTCCGCGGCTTCTTCGAAAATTCGCTTTTCCGTCGTGACATGAAGAGAAAGCGGCTTTACAATTAAAGCGAATGACCTAAAGGCGATGGCAATCATCGCAGAGGTATATGTCTGTGAAGAGGATACCTAATTAAAATACACTGTTAGAGCTAGTAATCAGTCGCCTTGTCAGTTATGAAAATTGCGATATAGTAAAATTACGTTTTCATGAAAGAAGAAAAACTTCGGTCATCGATGGAGATGACTGTAACTTGAGCGCAATTCTACTGTCTGCACTGTCGACCTTAGCACCAATTCCTCATCAAACAAGTAGCATTCCACCCGTATATTGACTCAGTAAAAAGCCTTACATTTCCTTTCTCGCGCAATATAGTAGCGTAGAGAGAACTTTCAGAGTGCTTGCCGAAGCGTATTCAAATTAACAGCGTAACAGTGACTCTTTACAGGCTAACTACATACACGCGAGATTCTAGGATTTCACTTTCCTTCGCGAATGCGGTCCTTTCTAAAGAAAACATCTCCTCCTTGACTCTCTCTCTCTCTCTCTCCTTCTCGCGCGCATTCGTTGTTGCTTATTTCTGCGCGAAGACAAATTGCCTCAATTAACGCCTGCGGTAATTCCACGCCAGTTTCGTAGCTCACGCGCACTAATTAACCTTTCAACTTAGCAGGAACGCGTGGAAAAGCTGTGGAGAATTGCGGACTTTTTTTGCGAGCTACTCCCACCGAGAACTTCCGTTCGGTTTGCCAATCGCGCGTCGCATAAATTGCAATGGAAAAACGATCTGCTTCTCTCGCCAGCGCGAGCTTCTCTCGGATTCTTACGCCACGTGACAGCTGAATGTTTTTTTTCACTTCTGACCTCACCTCATTTTCACGTGAATGCGCCATTTTCGGATAATATTTATCGGCATTGACAGGCTGTAAGTTTCGCGCGAGATGCGCAACGCCGTCCTGTAAACAAGCCGGTGGACATAATGCAGATTAAACGACGATCAAGGAATGACTTGTCATCTCGCGCGAAGACGCGTCGCGCGCTGCAAACTTGAAAAATTAATTGCGACAAGCATGTAACGAAGATAAACGGTCTACGGGAATAATTTGAAAAACAAACTGACGATATGTATCGTCAGCTATATTTTAGCGTTTTCGCTGCGATACGCGTCGTACGTCAACCTGTATAAGGGCGCATTTCATGGTTATAATCATACGGGGCAGTTTTGAAATTGGTTGTGGATCGATGCGGCAACGAGTGCTGCTGCAGCATCGCAGGCGCATGATCGATGCTCGTTTTTTTCTTTCTCTCAGACGCGGCGTGCGCCTTACGTAAAGTCCGCTTTTATGGACGGCGAAAGAAGTGTGCTAATGCGATAAGCGGCGAAACGCACGCAGCTGCGCGGCAGCACCAGCAGCACACATTTCAGCGCGTTTATCGAGTCTTAACGAAGATCGCGCGATAACTTCGGATTCAAGCATCGCATTAATTCGCTTATTGGGACACATGTGTCCGTATATCGCGTACTTCTTCTTAATAAATGGGCGCGGTGTGTGCATATATCGTGGACATCGAAATTAGCAGATACCAAGGAACGTGCGGTGCTGGAATTGTTTGCGCCGACAATTATATACATCGCGAGAGACATACTTTCGAGATCGATCGATCGATAAAGTTGCAACACCGGTTTCTCTCGAAAATTCACACGGGCACCATCGTGATCGTAAAAAAGAAAATAAATTAATAAAATATCGAGCCACCTGCTGACATATCTGTAACAACGTCACGCTTTTCAATATTACACGACACGTATCGGAAGAGAAATATGATGATTTCTGGTTGGTGCACTTCTCAGCTGGGTCTTCGATCGAACTGAAGCGCTAAGCCCACTGTTCATGAATAAAAATCTCCGGAAGGCGAGGCACGTTTTCTCGCTGACGAGCATCACGTATAAAGGACGAGCGCGTGAAAGTTTTAGCGCCGCGATTTCTCCGAAAAAAATACACGTGGTATCAACGCCACTGCGAAAAATCTTCTAGCGATTCGCTGTGTGCGACAATTACGTATGTTACAAGTAAATGAATGAAAGAATTCATTGTAAAGATTTTCAAATATAATGTTCAATTTCAATGCGACTCGCCGGAATTAAGGATGACATTTGTATTTTTCAAATCGTCAAGTCGGAAGGGATTATAAAACCCAACGACCACGTCCTAAATGCGTGAGATGAATTAATAGTCATCTAATTGGCAGTCTGTACGCGGGAAAGATGTGAAAGCTTCAGTTCGTTCGTTTTTTTTTATGCCGAGACAATGAGCACTACTTTTATATTTATGTAATTACGGTCGGACCCTTCAATTTGTCGTGTTTTTCTGGATGTGATTACGATATCGGTTGTGCGGCTAATTTTACAATGCTGTAACTATCTAATTAGTGTTTTATAATGGTCGCAGTTTGTAATTTTGCGCGGATGAAGTTTTCTAGTTGATTGATGAATATCCAATAACTTGGAAACTGAACAAACGAATGTGTGGATGACTCGGATAGTAAAATTTTAATATGGCTTTATGAAAAAAAAATGAAACCTTCAAAAATGGGTTTTGTTGGCCTAAGGGTGATAAAAATGATGTTACCGTATTTTTTAACGTAATTTATAGCTCGACAAACAGAAACTAAGGGGCTTGCTGCTACAAAATTAAACAATCTGATCTCTACATAAGACGAAGTCGACAGAAATCGGCAAATTGTTTCCCTATCGTTGGAAATATCCCCATCATGCGTCGCGACGTAAATGTTCTAATTTCGAAGCGACTTATAAACCAGTAAAGGAGAGGAGAAAGAGGCGAAGGAAATTGAAGTATCTCCTGCCAATTTCACACTGCAGCGGTATGCGATACACATAAGAAGCCGAATCAGTGAATGAGTAACGACAGAAAAAAACGAAGTCGCTGCACCTGCTCTTTATTTTGTCGGCGCGTAAGTGTTGCCGAAATTACGCGAGGTTATCGTACGCGCCGCACGAAAGTGAGAGGAAGGCCAGAGACACCGTGGCATATAATACACGCGCGCGACGGGTTTTTCGTGTCGCCCGGAGCTTTCCGACACGCACTTGCACAATGCAAATCTCGCGCGCGCCGGAAGGGAATTTCGTACTGTTTCCTCCCTGGATTTCGACTTCTTACTTTCATTCCTTCTTGCCGACCGAGTGTCATCGCTCGAAGCATAAAACTTTAGTGCTTTTCTCAGTCCTATGTTTAACGACGTAAGGAAAAAAAGGAAAAATTAAATAAATTCCTAGAAACGCTCGTCCGTGTACCGATTGCTCTTTATAACTCGTTCCTTGCAAAAAGAAATGACAGCGATAGCTATGGAAAAAAAGGGCAGCCTTGAGCCGCTTTCGATTGTTTTACGCAAGCAGCGCGGCTGCAGGTTTGTCAGGCGAAATTACAAATTTTTCGAGCATACGGCCTTCCCCTCGCAGATACGTCGGCAACTTTCTTCGAGCTAGCGTCCGCGCGACCCCCTGAGATAGCTGCACGATAAAGAAAGAAGAAAAAAGCGGCACAAGTCTGCCAGCAATTTTCTCGCGCGCCGGACACGGCGAAAGGCTTGGCTTTTTACATAATGTAACAGATACTCCACTCGGACACTACTGTCTGGCCGCGCGCGTGCCGCGAATTTCCCGTCCAAGCCGATATTTACGAATCTGTCGTCGGGATTCCACGCCAAATCGAAGTGTCCCCGAGGGAAAAGAAGGCGTTACACAAAGCTTGATGGTCTGAATAAATAAATCGGAGACGCACGCGCGCGCGTGAATATCCTTTCTTCGAAATCGAGCTTCTATGTAGAAGCTGATCGGTGAAGCTCACGCGCGAATACACGCCAGCGACCATTTCACGACCATTAACGCTTCCGACACGCCACAATGAAAACACTCGATGTCAACGATCTTTCGGGGATAGCATATGTATATAATAACGATACCGAACGATTTAATCGACATGACCTTGTTTCCTTTTCTTTCCTTTCGAGCGAGTGCCATAGTTGTCGATTGAAAGGGAATGGAAAAGGATGTAGGTTGAGTGGACTTTAAATGGACATTGCTTTGTTACATATCGCGGCTGAGTTTCTGTAGGCGCAGCTGAATTTAAAAGCAGATCGGTTTATACTAATTGACATTGTTAACGATCCGCGAAATTAACTGATTCTCATCGCGAGTGAAGAAATCGGTTCGCCGCGATTGTAGCGTCCGCGCAAGGAAAAAAATCGCAACTAAACGTAAAATTGAGAGAAAAACGAAGCTAATCAGCGACTTACCACTGTGACCCTCATGGCGCTCGTCCTTTGATCGGCTGGCAGAGGGATAATGAAATTTGTCCGGCTTGAAGCACTGCACACCGATGGGACCGAAAAAAATCGATATATTATTCCTGCCAAATGTCGGACGAAAGAGGCAAACTAGATAACCGATTCGAAAAGAAATCAGCGACGGAGAATAAAAAAGAAAAAAGAGGAACGGTGTCGAGAGAAGGAGAGAGACGTTTAGTGTAAGTGCACGATAATGGTTGCGCGCATGGTCTCTCGGCGCTTGTCTAGCGCAGACAGCTGTTCAGGAAACACTGCCGACTATCATTCTCAAATTTAGCCGCGCTCGCTCTCTCGGCCGCCTCCCCCAGCAGCGGCGAGAGAGCGCCCCACGTTATAGACACAACAATTAAGCCGCCTTTCATTTTAACTATAGTACTAACACCGCTACGACACGCCAGCGGCCGTACGGGGCCCAATCCCCGTACAAGCTAAATGGGAACGCGAGAGTGAAACGCCAATCGGCAAGCTCGATACTCGTTCTTAGAATTCGCCTGCAACACGAGACTGTGCGATGAATATCACGCAAACCGGCCACTCTGCAAGCAACAATCCAGCAACCGCGTGGATGCCGTTTTTTTTTCTTCATTTTTTCAAATATTTTCTGAAATTTGGGTATTTTTAATTTACGTTGCGTTTTCACTTCCTTTAAGCGTGACTGTATCTTTAGATTTTTTCAAAACTCGTCTAATTGTGATTCTAAACACTTTTTTTTATCTATTTATTTTTTTCATGGAATTTTGACGAAAGCACTCATATCGTGAAATCACTGGCTCGATAATTACTTTTGTTATTCCGATTTACACATAATTACCGATATGAACACGCCACAAACAACGTTCTTATAAAAAGAAACGTAAGTTCTAACGGATGCAGCATTAACGTGACGAGCCATCTGGAAGTGACGCTGTACGTGTCAAAATATTTGGGAATCGCTCAAAGCTCGCGCGATGCCGATAGCGCATACATAGCTGTAGCGGCTAGATATAGTGAAAGTGGTCACTTCATTAGGCTTCTTTTTTCTTAAACTCATGTCTGGAAAGGTCTGCGTGTTCGCGATCGAAACCTACATGGAAATTCCAGTTTTCGTACAGGCAGGTTCTACAAATGTGCGAGCAGCCAATTCTAACGACATGTACATTAATTTTTGTGTTTGTTCAAATGATCGGGTTCAAAGATGATTTAATGTAGACTAATAATTATACTTTCAGTTTATTCATCATAAAGAGTTAATAAAATTGTTTTCATCAAAAGATTTGTTGTTTTTTATTGACATTTTGTCGAGCAAGTAGTTAAATCTAATTAACGAATCATTACACGCCTGTATACCAACAGTTCCTTAGTTGTAATTAACGACAATAGCAAAAGTCTCTTTAACACCGTTTTGGCTGCCTTGAATGAGCCTTTAATTAGATTCACTTGCGACATTACATTTGAATGTGTTAAAAAGTCTCTACGGATACATTGTAACATACCGCAGGATGTTGGCGATTTAGAACCTATAAATGAGATTGTGCCGACTATAAAACCTTATTAAGTAATTCAAATACGGCTTGTAAAGTATCATGTTGGATTGAGTTTTATTTTGATGGAGAGCTTTTATAATTGCTTGTCTTTTCCTAATACACGTATTATTACAATAGATATACTTACCACGTTACTTTTGAAATTCAAATGTTTTGTTTGTTTGCTTGGTTCATTAAAATAATTAAATGTCTTTGCGTTATGTTTATTTATTATCTTTCTAAAATGGTATTTAAATCTAAATAACGTAAAATCGATACTTCAAAACGATACTTTTATATACTCGTACATACTGTTATATATAGGTTTCGGAGCTATGGTATCAAACAGTATTTTATCTTGTAAAGAATTTAAAAATACAAAACTCGATACACCAAACGTTACTTTCGACACAATCAATTTATGTGTATGTATATAAATAGAACGTCCGTCTCACGAACATCTTTTATTTGCTACAATAAACATATCGGGAAGTCGTGTACACATAATTTTTATTATTCTAAATCTCTAAGGAGACTAGTAAATTGTCGATCGAAAAGAAAAAATAACAGAGGAACCACTAAAGAAAAATCAATTCCAATCGTCACTAAAGTTAAATCACATGAGATTGAAAAAAGTCAATAAAATTGTGTCTCCTCACCGAAAAAGCCTTGTATGTATCATAAGGCACATTGCAATGAGAGAGAGAGAGAGAGAGAGAGAGAGAGAGAGAGAGAGAGAGAGAGAGAGAGAGAGAGAGAGAGACAGACAAACAGAGAGCAAAATATTTAACAATAATGCCCTTCATATTCTCGCAGTAGTAGAAACGGTAGGCAAGTAGTCAGCCTCGATCTCTCAGCGGGTGGAAGCAACGGCACAGCAACGGCAGCATCGAGTAGGCGTGCGGATGAAGTGTGGAAGAAAAAAGAAGTAACAACTCGCTCGTGGCATAGCTTTCGACATACGACATTATATTTTCGTAAGAAACCGCTCGCATTATACATGTGTAGTAAGTACAACTTAACGACTTATAGCGTGATACAAGTGTAAATCCGGATATAACCGTGAGAAAATCGTCGTACATTTTTAGCGCTCATACGACGCTCATTCACCTTATTTTTCTTCACATTTTCTTCTTTTTTTTTGTTTATTTCAATGTTTTTTTCTTGTTTATTCATCTTAATCTTATTTGTTTTTTTACTCGCTTTTGTCCTTTTTTTTTTAATGCTTAATGACAGTGCAACGTTATGTCGATACAATGGTATACATAATATAATATATTTATCATTTATACTTATTAGGTAATTATGGTCGTTACGGTAAATATAATATAGTTAACGTTTCTTCTCCATTTTTTCATTTTTTTTATTTCATTTCATCGATTTTCCATTTAAATTAAGAAAATATATAGGTACGCTCGATATAAATAATGTCCTGGCATGGCGTACGTGGCCGAAGCAAACGTTATCAACGTGAAAAAAAGAAAGAGAAAAAATAAACATCTACATCATAAATAAAACGACAGAATAATATTAATAATTTTTTTAACAAACAACTCGCTAGACGACACGTAATTCTCCGGCCCACTTTAGTCGAGCGTGAATAAAGTGTAGGTATCTTTTTTTATTTATATATATATGTATATATATATATTTATATATAGCGATAGCGATCATTGCAAAGGCTTCCGAAAATCGTTAGATAATAAAAAGCCTCGTTGATCCGATCGCGCGGGATCCTTTAATAAAATTACGTCTCGCTGAACACTGCGCCACGCGCATCGTCGTCAATATCTATATATAATCCGAAGAAAAGTAAAAGCGACAAGCCGAATTGATATACATATATTATTTATATTTATATCGCGTTCATCATTGTTTTTCACCTCTTATTTTTGTTTGTTCTTCTTCGTCTTCTTCGTCATCTTCTTTGTCTCTATTCATTCTTTTTTATTTATTATTTGTTTTAAATCACAAAAAACGAGGAAGGAAAGCTCTCTCGTGCTTCGAATTGACGATGACTGTAAGTGGTCGCTTGCTTTTATTATTTAAGCTTTTTTTTACTGGCGTGCTCCTCGTGTACGTATGTCTCGCGTCTCCTCTTTTGGCACTTCGTCATCGCTTTTTGGTCCTCCTCTCATTTTGTTTAGTTATATTTTTTGGTTTATTTTTTAATTCTCTAATAATCCATCCGAGGCTTTCTCTCTCTCATCGACTACTTGTTTTGTAAGCTCGCAAATGAACGAAACATGAGCGACGAGGTCGTAGAAAAAATTTGATAGTCGTCTCTTTGGTTCTCTCGAAAAATTTTGGGAGAATCGTTATCTCTCTTTTTTTGTTGATGAATCTAACTTTGATCCTTCGTGTTCGATCGCCGTAGACAAAAAAAACGGCTTTTTTTTTATTTTGTTTGGTTGTTTTTTTATATCATTGTCCATAAGACAACGCGTCAGTGGTCGTCGTGCCGACGACGCGCGCTTTATATAAATCCACGGCTCTGCAGCAGTCGCTCGTACATAGAATAATGTCTCTCTTTCTCGTGAAGTGTGTGTGTGTTCGTCTGTCCTTTCGCTCGTTGGGCGTTGTTCTTCTCGTCGATCGTAATGGTGGCGCTGGTTATTGTTGTAGCGTGGGCGAGCAAGCGACTGCGGCCACGTGCTTACATTATAGTGCACTTGCCCTTCTCGGCCCATGGATTATTCTTTTTGTCGGGTGCGTGGATTAGTGGGTCGTTCTTCTCGTTCTCCTCCACGTACTCGCGCATCCTGCAAACATTCGAATGTCTAGATTAATCATCCGTCATTGATCGTTATTGCGAATGAAAGGCAAAGCGACGGGAAAATTAGATTGGAATCACAATACGGAATGAAACCATCGAATCGGCGCTGGCCCACATAATTTCTCACGGCCTGTTTTCTAGAACAAAGAAGCGTGGCCCACAAAATCAGCGAAAAGAAAAGAGAAAGACACAAAAACATACACACGCACACACACAGGAGACAGGAGTAAAACTGTCCTCCATGCCGCACTACCATGGAGTACAAGTACGAGCGTTGTACGCAAGAGGTACGTATTACGGTTCACCGCGCGAGCGTATTTGCTCTACTTTCTAAGCAAAGGCCGTATGTAGATGCGGCAAGAGGGAAAAACCTACGTAGCTTCTATGTACAGGGAAGAAAGCTCCGAGCGACGAATCTTTTTTTATTAATCGGCTGGCTGTGCTGCTTCTTTGCCTGCCTAATTAACCTCGTTCTATTTCGATTTTTTTGATCGTTATTATGGAAAAGCGAGAAAATGTTGATTGTGTTATAGGGACAGGATATCATGAGTGAAAGAGATGTACAAGTGCACATGTGTCTGTCTGTTTCTAGAGTTGCCAGTCCAGAACTTATCAATCTCGCTGCCGAATAAATCAAACGAAAAGTAGGTGAAAGTTTTGGGTGTTTGTTCTTTTTCAGTTGCGTGACACGGATTCCTTTGAATTTCTTATCTGTCTACGTTTGAGGCGGCTGAATATCTCATCAACTTCGTCTTTTCTTGTTTTTTTTTTCGTACTCAGTTTTTACAGATTTTTTCTTTTACATTTCAACAAAAGTCAGTTACAGTCTTCGGTATCTCAATCGAGTCTTAGACAACGACAAAGTTTAATTCCTTGAAGACTGATTAATTTATTGTTTTACGACTTGTTTAACATTACAACTCTGATGAATTCATTCTTTATCGACGGAAATATGCTACACGTTAGACTTTAAATTTCTTCCTCGCGGCATTTCTTTTTAATTGCGAATTGCTCGCATTCTTTCACTGTCGTTTCAAACGTTTTGAATACAATGTAATCAACTGCTATTACATCCATTTCTAAGTTATTAACCGTTATACAATTCTTTTCACACGAGTTCCTTAACAAAAAATTAATGTAAAAGGTGTCAAATAAAAGTGTTACACTCAATTTTCCAATTAATCGCTCAGGTCTGATCGCATCAAATATCGACGATCTCTTTAAAATAAACGATTCGACAAACTAAGCGAAATCACGCGAGAAAGTATACAGCCGTTAAAAGACATAACAATGCATCCGCAAAAAAGCCGAGAAGCGGGTTATGTAGGCCGATCTACTTAACCGCAGCTCGAGCGGCTAAAATCTCTCACGAAAGGGGATTTTTCGTGGAGAGGATCGCGATTGCACGTCGCGCGGTAGATCGTGCTTTTCGAAATCTCGAATGCGGGCTCGTGCGGAGCGCATGTGTCACTCGACATCCTCCAACATCCATCACACAACGCTACCTGCACTAGGCGAGCGTGAATATAGCTTGTCGTCGCGGCCGACATAATCCTTGCTTCGGATGAGTTCTCCTCTCTTTCCCTTCTCCCCCCCCCTCTCGCTGAAATACACGGCTTCTTCTTTAGGACATAACGACAGCCCGTACGGATTTTTGGTACACGCCAAACTGGCTCTGCAGATGAGAAAATGTGGGTTAAATATATTTTGGAAGAGACGAGACCGATGAGCTATTTTACGGCTCACAGATAGCTGCTGCGACACTGGTATTTGGTAGGGGATACCGTCATCGATTTATAGCTTGCCTTTGAATTTTGACTAAATAGACGCGCACGCGACAGTTTTCAATCTGTCGAGCTTCAAGATATTTACTCGGGGCGTCGCGAGGACGCGTGCGCAGTAGTGCTTCCTAAAAAAGAGAAAAAAAAAACTACAATTATTCAGTGCCCAAATCCCGTAGCGAAGTGCAAGAGAAAACGCCAACGACGAGAACAAAACTTGCTCATGCATTATACCGAACCTCGACGGTTTAATCGGGCGAAGACGGAAAATAAAGGTGCGCGTTTAGATGGCGCCATTGGAATTCCCTCTGACACGCGCCGGTACACGTGCACACGGCGTTTAACGCGAGCAGCGAGGATGATGCCGCACGAGAAATTACTATATATATTTTCATTTTCGCTTTTGTTTCAACGAGGCGTATTTCGTGAAGGCAAATTGCAAAGGCATCCCCGGCGAGACGCGGCTCGCTAACGCGGCGAGGACCGCGCGAGCGGCGCTGCCATCCGCTCTAATTTCCATGACACCTCGCGCGCACACTTTATGACGGAAATGAAGCGGGCAATTGAACGGAGCGCGGCGAGCGAGCGGTCGCGTCGTTGAGTCTCTCTTTCTTTTGTCGGTCGGTGCGCGCACCTCCCCCCACCCCCTTTTCCCCCCTCACCGCGGCGCTGTCGCCGCGCTCGCGAAGCCGGTGAAAGGGAATTGCGCGCGAGAGAGGATTTGCGTTCAAGGCGAGGCGCTGCTCGCGCGCAGGCCAAGGAAGCTTTCGGACTTTGTTCCTGTGCGCGCGGACACATTGCAAAGGCGTATTTTGCCGACAATTATGTGCGCGCGCCAAGCGCTTGAGCTGCTTTTCGCATCGCGCCGCCTCGCTGGCTTTTATTGCTGGATCTTTTGTCGCTACTGCGAGCGCTTCTAGCCTGCGAGACCTTGTGTTATCGGTTTTTTTGTTCTAATAAAGAGTATTTATCATACATTCGTTTTCTCAGCTGTCCGAGTGTATATTTAAATAGTCGATATATGCCTATACGCATATTCCAAGTAGCTGGCAGCACGCTTGCCCAAGTGTCGTCTTATTAACCCACATATCGGCTATAAATGTCTATTGCAAAGCAGCTGTGTTATCGGGAAAATACAAACAGAAAGAAAGACTAGCATCGATCGAATCGCGTAGTCTGTACACTTATCATTCGGTGCGCTCGGCGAGCGATCATCGCACCGAAATGCCAGAAATGCCAATTACACATAGCTACAAGTCAGCGATTTATCCAGCAAAGGTGTGAATCTCAGGCGGTTCACGTATGCTACATCGTGGCGATGAACCACCGGCTGCAGTCAGTGGCTCGCGATCAACCCGATTCTATATCGTCTTGCGTCAAATCGGCACGCGGCGCGAAGTAACGAACGCACTCCATTTTTCCGCGCGTACCAATAGCGAAAGCTTATCTGCGCTATCCTGCGGCCGTGCTCGCGCGGATATATCGAGAGCGCCAAGGGGAAAAGGCAAAGCGCGCGAGAAACGGGAGCGCGCGAGTGAATATGTATCTGGCGTGCGCTCGGCGACGGCGGCTCTTTGTTGTTGGCTCTGCGTAGCAGCTAATTAAGTGCGTTATTAGCTGCGGTATCCGAGTAAAAGAGCTGATTATCGAACGCAGCGCTCCGTGCCCGCCTTTGTACATGACTCGTCAAGCTAGCGAGAGCTTTATCAGATAGCACAGGGATACCTTGCATAATGAGATGTTTACAAGGCAGTCGGCTCGACGCAGATGGAAAGAAGGACTTGCAACTATCGCGTTTCAAGGCGACAACGTTACGTGATAAAGAATAGCCGCTAGCAAGAGACGCACGCAAGTGCAACGAACTCGCGAAGCGCACGGAGCGAGAAAAGAGGCCGCATTGCGACCACTACTGCTGGGCGCGAAACTGTATATCGCGAGTGAAGGCGCGAACTTGTTCTGAACTTATCACTTTACAGTCCTCGACGGATTTTAAAATCGTTATAAACAATCACTGTTGCGGCATCGCAACTTGCAATGATTTAACACTATAAAAATGGAGTCTCACGAAGGCACGCCACAGAGGTCTTCATCTTGGTTTTTCCCATACAATCCATTAGCGTAATTTGTTTTTCAAGCTAACAACACCTTTGAGAATGTCCAATTGCTTAACCCACGAAAAATTTCTGCCGATGCTTGGCCACCCTTGTCAATTCGTCCAAGCAACAAATTGCGACGAAGAGCAGAATGTACGTGCTTTACGTTGGCAAAAAATATATTTGTGTTTGATCGCCCGTCATTTGCCAACTTCTTCACTTCGGTAGGCGAAAATTTTATTTTGCAATGTACGCCAGCTCTTGGACTAGGACGGATTCTAGACGAGGGACAGAGGAGTGTACGCTTGACTTTTTTCAGTGGCCAAGTATATGCCACGATAACTGCGAAGGAGTTGATATTTTATTCAACGACGGAGAAGTGGCTGCTTTGAGAATTTTTCGAGAAACTTCACTTGAAAGTATCGTGAAAACTTTTGGAAACTTGATGATTTGTTTACGACTTTTCAGAATTTCGAAGAGCCATATTCATTGGAAAGATTCATGAAACTTTTGAATAAGCAGCTCTTTGAGCTTACGTCTATGCAGAATTTTCGCAAATTTCAAACTCTATAACTAAAGCAAAAAAACATGTACATGCCTAATGACTAACGGAAGTTTTCAAATCTCATTTAAATGCTAAAACATAATCATCTGTACTTTCCCGATGCATTTCACGCTTTGAATGCAGTCAATTGCAAATCGTGACTCGAACGTGTCAAAAATTAAAAACTACATCGATCTACAAATCCATCCGAATAATTTTTGAATATCTTCGTACAAGTTCTTTCATCATTGAAAGCTATAAAAAAAATTTAGAAATTCGAAATTGGACTCGTTGGATAATCGAAATGTAAAATGTTATGGTAGAAATTGGAATCTGCTCGATCGACACTATTAACAGAACGTCTGTAAAGCACGTTCACGGTGTATTCGGGGATGACTTAATACCAGGAAACACCTCGGCATAGAAATCTGATCGGGATTCACGACTTGATGGTATACAACATCGACACGGCTGAGCCGTGTAAGTAGTAACAGACTATTATAGACCGGCCTGCGGATGTTACGCGCGGCAGCAAGAAATAGATAGAAAAGATGAGCGACTGCCTTGTATTGGCTTACACAAGGACAAAAATAGGAATACAATAACCAGCGTCGAACCTTCGACGAGACTTGATTGTGCAATTGAAAACGCAGAAAAAGTATACAACAACGATATGGATACGATAAGTGAAATATTGAAATTCGTTAACGATATCGCTCTAAAAGCGTAATAATTTGTGCGATGATGAATCTTAGAAGACAATTTAGTTTTGAAAAAAAAGCTCGGATTAACGGTTGAGCTGATCATTTTTTAATTATGGCGAGAAAAAGGAAGGAAGCTAAAACAATAATAATAATACTGAACAAAAAATTTTAATTGCTTCTGAGAAGTAGTCAATGGCTGGCGAAAATGACTTTCATTGCGCGGATTTAACAGACAATTCGAGACTTCGACTCCAAACATAGCAATTAGTTTTCTAAAAGAGGACTGCGCGTTGGTTTCACTCGCTTTTAAGCCGCGAAGCAAAACGAAACGCATTAAGTAACGACACGCCGAATATATAAATCATCGTCGTCGTCATATCGTTTGGCCGATATAATATTTACCAATGTTTGCGGGCTTTTAATTTGGCATCGACAACTCTCTCTCTCTCTCTCTCTCTCGGCGCATAATAGACTGTGATCGAATGGTTTTTGACATCTGGCGTGCGACCAAGGCACATTGTGTTCGCGACAGGAATTCGGCCCGATCGCCGAGAAAAGAAAAAAAAAGCAGCGGCTAGACCGACTATATATCAAGTAACCAACATGGCTATACCACGCGGCCTTTCACTCTTCAATTGCTAGCCGCGAAAGTTTTTGCTTTGCCCCGGCTACTACTACAACAACTACAACTACTACTACTACTCATCTTTCTCTCTCTCTTTCTCTCTTTCTCTCTCTCGTAATAGTAACGTTAGGGCGAAATTGCATTTTTATTTTCGGCCTCCCACGCTAAACGGGGCTTTTAACTGAATGATGATGCTTCGAAAGCAATTATCGTTGATGGCTTCGCGCTTCTTGTTGCGGTCGGCCTCTCGCGACCGGATGTGTATGGCTCGAATTTCAATGCGAATGCTTATGTAATTGATGCTCTTGCAGCTGTCTTTTTTTTTTCTTATGCAAAGATTGTTCTCTCGAAGTTTTGGAGAACTGTAGAATTAATGTTCTAGTAAGAAAGCCATTTATTGTTTGACTTTGCGATTTTTAAACTTTACAGTGCCTTGCTGCAGCCGTTAAGGCCTCAAACCTACGGCTGTAATTGAACAGTTCTAAAAGTAAAAGTAATCTATGATAGGTTTGATTAAAATTATGATGAAAAATAGGTCACGACTACTAGAAAACAAGTATTAAAGATTGAGAAGTGCTTTTACTTTGCCGATTAGCCGAGGACTGTTTTCTCTCTCTCGTCATCTCAGTTAGGAAAAGTAGGTTGTTCGTTGCACATTGACGACAAAAGAAGTTTTAATTCAAGAAGTCTTGTATTACCAATCGATTAAAAAATCGCCAATCCAATTACACAACTCAACGACGTCAAACCCTCGAGCGATTAAAGCCATGAAACCGCAAGATGCTTACTCAAGAGCTGTACACACGCGAATTATCTAATGAACATAGATAATATCCAAGAAGCCTCGTTAAAGGTCAATAGCATAAACTCAAATATGCGCTTTGTACAGTTCATTGTGTCAGAGACAAGCTGCGTGCGCACGGAATAACAAATCAGGACGAAAGTCGCGGGGCGCTCGCGCGCGACATCGATGCAAGCGCGACGATTACGTAAAAGCCAATGATTCTCCGTTGAGCCGTGTTACGCGCGGCGCGCACGGCGCGTTGCGCAAAGACAGGAACGAGGAGCGAGGCGCTTTTCGGGGCGCGTCGCGCGCGCAGGTGGCAGTGTGCGCGCGTGCGAGCGAGCCGCATTGGGTCATCGCACGCAGGTGCAAAAAGAGACGAAGACTACGAAAAGGAAGGCGCGCGAGAGCCGTGCAAGCGCATGCGGGTCGGCGCACGCGCCTTGACGTGCCTATTTTTACCGTGTGCGCTGCGCGCAGTTCTCGATGACGCGACGCACCGACGACGTCGTCGACGACGGCAGGGATGTTGCTTGCGCGATTGCCCATCAGTGCGAGCAGCGCGACAGATTGCCACTTTTTCGACACCCAGCGTTGTTTATTCGTTTCGCCCTTCTCGCTGCTTGCGAGCTTAATCGACTGCTTTATGGATTTTCCCGCGTAGCGCCGGCGAATATGCGGACTAATAGGTCTAGACGGCAAGCGAAAGCGTTTAAACACGTGGTTGCCGCCTAATGCATCCGTGCCCGGGCCATAAACATTTCATCCCGGCGAATAACAACGAGTACGTATAGCTACAGTTTGGAGCTCTAACGAGCGAACGATTATCAGAGTTACCGAAAGCAATATTGACAATGCCATAAAGTACGTCGTTCCATCCAACCAAGAACGAAAGGAAGATCAAACACAACAGCGAGGCGAACAATCATCCACTTGGCGTGTTTTCTCTCGCGCGACAATAGTATATCAACCGAGGCCAACTCGGAGGAGATTGGCGTGCGCGAAAATTTCCTCGCGAGCTTTCTTTTTCGCGTGATTGACAAGCCTCGCGTTTGCGCGCGCGGCTCGTTCGCATATTTCGCGCTGATCGCCCGCTGCCCCGCGACCGGCTTTCTCGTGCGCGCTCCATTCGTTTTGCGTAAATGGAAAGGCAGGCGGCCGGGATCGGCGCGTTCGCCGCAACGCACGGCCGGACAACCGAAGTGGCCGTGGCGCGTGCATCGGTGTCACCTTCGTCGATCAATCGTGCAGCGCGACGCGAAGGCGGAACACCTGTGCCTTTGCCCCGCGATCGCGCGCGAATCCGCGCTCCAGATGCAGCGTGCGGATTTTCATTCGGCCAAGCGTGCCTCCGCTCCACTCTGTTACGTGAATCGCATGCAAGTCGAGCACCGAACGAAAATGCAAATGCGCATTGTTATGTACTTTCGTTGTTGACGCGCGAGAAACGTGCGGTGCACCTCCTCGCCAGAAGCAAGAGGAGCAATGGGCAATGTTGCGCTACATGGAGCTAGCTGTGCGCCAGTGTTTGTGTGCGTGCGCGCGCTATGTTTGCGTGAATAATAAATGGCACTTGTCCGTCGGATCGGCGCGTACGTGTGCGGCACTATCGAAACTGGGTTAACATCCGAACTCTGGCTCGTGTGCACGTCAGCCAAAGACAGAAATTCATCGCGAGAGCGCCGCTAATTAAACAAAAGCCAGATCTTGTGGCGTCGAGAGCCTAAGCCGCGCGCGACGTTTCGTAATCTTATCTGGCGTGTCTCGCGCATCTCAATTCATCATCGTTCTCGATTGTCGAGGTCGGCTAATGAGCGGAGTCAGTCGAAAGACGAAAAATCTCCGACGAGAGAGAGAGAAAGAGAGAGAGGGAGAAACAGAGAGAGAGACGAAATCGCGTTCAGGCGCGCAGATCGATTTTCCTTCGACACACCACGAGAGAGTAAGAGGGCGATCGTGACGTCAGAGCGCGAGAGAGAACGTGTGCGTGTGTCCGTGTACGTTTACGAGAGAGAGAGAGAGAGAGAGAGAGAGAGAGAGAGAGAGAGAGAGTGAGAGAAAGAGAGTGTTCGTCTGTATTGAAAACATTTTCGTAGGAGAGACGCGCGGAGCGAGAAAGCATGAATTAAAAGCAAACGAGCAGGCAATGGTGTGGAGCTTTTATCGACCAGCCGAAGTCTACCATGGCTCACTTGGCAGCACTACACCCTCTACTCGCGTTCGAGTTGCATACTCGCGTCAACATGTGTCAGCTAGTTGGCACACAGTGGAGAGGAGTTACACACAGACATACACACACATACATCCACACTCACACACACACGCACACCTAACAATCGCGGGAGCGCAAGCTGCACAGGCAACGAGCGAGAGGAGTACGAAGAGGAGTACGAGGGTGAGGCGCAGAGGCGAGCGAGAGTTCGGAGAGTGCGGCTCAGGAAGGGTGGTGGTGGTGTTGGGGGGTCGTGCGCCAAAAGGAACATGGTGGCTGTGCGGCGTCCGCGAGAGCGCAGAAAGGGCTGGTTCGGCCGGAGCATGCGGTCCGGCGCGGAGAGCAAGAGCGAGGAGCGGGATCGGGGAGGCCGGCGGGCGCAGAATTTAGTGGCAAAGCACACTCACGCTGCGATGCTCTTGGAGAGCGGCCACCGTTCCATGTTGGCCTGAAACTTCATGTTCTCGATCTGCTTCCTCAGTGCGTCCTTGTCCATGTTGGCGAGTACACTGGGATCCATGGTTACAGCCGCACCCCCCGTACAGTCGACGTCCGCGCTCTCTTGGCTGAAGCCGAGCCGCCTAGCGCCGGGACACGCGCAGCGCTTGCGCTCAGCCGACTCGTCTCTCTCTCTCGCTCGCACTCGCGCCGCCGACAGCCGAATCCCTAGTCGCTTCTCTGTTCTGCCGCCGCCGCCGCCACTGCCGCCGCTACCGCTGCCCACTGAAAATCAATATCTCGATGTACCGACATTGCGCCGCGCGCGCTCGTGTGCGCGTGCCGCGCGCGTGTGGGTGCGCGCGTCGCGCGACACGCCGCAGTCGGCCGCGAGCGAGCCACAAGTGCCGCGCTCGCCGCGAGCCTCGGACCCGGGCCACCTCCCTCGGTCGGTGAGCCTTGTCGTGGCCCTCCGCGGCGAGCTTGCAAGCCCCGCGCGCGCGCCCGCCTCGCGCGTTCGCCACCCCGTCCATTCACGGCGGAACGCAGCGGAGCCCGTTCGAGCTTGCGTGCCCGCTCTCGTGCACCGCGCGCGACTCGCTGCACTTGGCGCTTGATAGAGCAGCTTCGTTTCCGCGTCGAAGCCGCTCGTGCGCGTTTAAACATGGGCGAACGAGCAATCCTTCGCCCGGCCAATCGCTACGCGTGCTTGCGCGACAGCGCCGTAATCGAGTGAAGCCGGTATTATTGTACGCGACAGACTTATCTGCTTATGTAACGCGCTCGCCGTAAGTGCGCTCCGAGATAGAATGTTGAGTCGTGAGCAATATTGATCGGGCGCGTTTTCAAAAGTCTTTCCCGGCACGCGAGCAGCGTTATTACATTTGCAATTGCCAAACCGCAGCAAAGCAAAAGTGCAAATTTCGACTTCGCGTCCTCCACCAACGTCGGGTGAGCGCGCGCGCGCGGTTTCGACGATCTTGTTGCGTTCGCGGTCTATCTTCGCTCGATTGTCTTGTAGACATCGCCGCAGCTGCGAGCTATTGTATGATTTCGAAGCGAAGCTATCAACCTACTTGAATAACAATTTTCGCTAATCGCGATGACTGGGATACGTCGTCGTTTCTTCTATTTTTTTCGCAATACCCCGCCCAATGAAAAGATCTGTATAGAGTTCTGTATATATTTGAACGCGAACCTAATCGTCTGCATTTCATGTGTACTTGCAGTCATTCTGAATCTTCTTTTCAACGACCGAGTGCAAAAATCGTTGTTATTTTCATTAAACTTGAGATAAGTGCTAGAAGCACCAAGTTACATCAAACCTTTGCAATTGAATAAAAAGTCAATATTGGTTTACACGCGACTATTGGAAAATTTTTTTCGGTGTGCTGATCGTTTGCAATGCGTTTCGGAAAATCGCGGCAAATCTTATTGACCTGACACTCCCGATAATAGATCCACACGTAAATGTTTATTGCATCTTATTCGATAATTTGTATATGCTCAACGGCCCTCACCAATGCCTACTCAAATATTGTAAAAAGTTCTCAGTTGGCAGACCTTTCAATTTATATTTCGCGCGTGTATGAATTGATAATTACCTGAGATCTCTTGGCACAATAATCCAGGGAACTGGTCGCACTAATAAAATGACAAAACTTGGCTATTGTCAGCGAAACAGCAGCGAGTTTATCAGCAAAAGCGTGGCGCGACGCGAACCGATATATTCGCAACTTAGCCTCACGTAGGTCAAAGTAAGTCTGCGGCAGTTAGAATCTTAGACGGCTTCACGATTCGTTTATGGAAACCCTGCAGCGCTCAGAAATCTAATTAAGCCGAGCGACCGACCTGCCGATATATATCACCGCTATTTTCTATCGACAAACTGCCATTACCATTTAAAGTGTGTATATGTGAGCGCTCGCCTCGCTTGCCCTGGAATGAAACCAGGCGAATTTAATATTTCTATGGCATCGATTACATACTCGTTGCTTTCTCGTCATTTCTTTCTTGTTTGTTATTTGTCTTCCATTTATACTTGCCAGCGTGTAACCAAGTTTACTTAATCCGATTATCGCGTACGTATTACCATTGTGACGTAGATTTTGATAGCATTTTTTTTGTGTTCATTTGAGCATGTTGCTGCCTGAAATCCATCGTTTTCAAAATTTCCAAAGTTGCGATTAAAAACTGGAGTAGGGTACGATAACAAAAAATGGTTGTTTTTAAATCGTGTGTGACTGGCGCCAGTTACTGCTGCTTTCTACGATATTGAGCTGCTGGTAAGTCAACGTTCCCTGATGCCGATAATATGAAATATGTATATAGTCGCTTACTGTTAGTGTATCACTTCTGCAATAAGTAAAATAAAACTTTTTTTGTTTATTGTTTCACGTATAGCCGTATATTCGAAGTTTTCAATTGAATTTTTACTTTTCTCATCGTCCGGATAAATCGCCAAAATGGTTTTGGCGGATCTGGGACGTAAAATAACGTCCGCTTTGCGGTCGTTGAGCAATGCGACAATTATTAATGAGGAGGTAGGTTAAGGTGACTCGATGACATTTCCCATATGTAAACAGATGTTCTCATATGTTTTTCTATCCTTATCTAGGTCCTTAATTCTATGCTGAAGGAGATATGTGCAGCATTACTTGCAGCCGACGTAAATGTTAAACTAGTTAAAAATTTGAGAGAAAATGTACAGAAGGTTATCAACTTTGATGACATGGCTGGTGGTCTCAATAAGAGGCGGATGATCCAGAGTGCTGTGTTTAAAGAACTTGTCAAAGTATGTGCTCTAATGTTTTTTTCTTGACAGTAATATAATACGATACTCCTTTTTAAAGCTCATTGATCCTGGAGTAAAAGCTTATCAACCAATTAAAGGCCGACCAAATGTTATTATGTTTGTTGGTCTTCAAGGTTCTGGTAAAACAACCACTTGTACAAAATTAGCATACCATTACTTGAAAAAAAACTGGAAGGCCTGCTTGGTCTGTGCTGACACTTTCCGTGCTGGTGCTTATGATCAAATTAAACAGAATGCTACAAAAGCTCGAATTCCATTCTACGGAAGGTAAAGAAAAATCAAATGCTCAATGATATAGTTAAAATTGGAATTGTATCCTTCACTTATTGCTATTTTTAGTTACACAGAAGTTGATCCCGTTGTGATAGCTCAGGATGGTGTTGACATGTTCAAAAAAGAAGGATATGAAATTATCATTGTTGATACAAGTGGTAGGCATAAGCAAGAAGAATCATTATTTGAAGAAATGTTGCAAGTTTCAAATGCAGTTGTGAGTTTTCAGTTTTTTAATCGTATTTATAATTTACATTTTACAATCTTAAGTCATTGTGTTTTTACAGCAACCAGATAATATTATATTTGTGATGGATGCAACGATAGGTCAAGCTTGTGAAGCTCAAGCAAGAGCTTTTAAAGAACGTGTCAATGTTGGTTCTATTATTATTACTAAATTGGATGGTCATGCAAAGGGTGGTGGAGCTTTATCGGCGTAAGATTTACATACTTTTTGATATAAAAAATAATTTATATAACTATATTAATTTTTATTTTTCTATAGTGTGGCAGCTACACAGAGCCCAGTTATTTTCATAGGAACTGGAGAGCATATCGATGATCTTGAACCATTTAAAACAAAACCATTCATTAGCAAATTATTAGGAATGGGTGATATTGAAGGGTTGATTGACAAAGTTAATGAATTGAATTTAGATGATAATGAAGAATTACTGGAAAAAATTAAGCATGGTCAATTTACATTACGTGACATGTATGAACAGTTTCAAAATATAATGAAAATGGGACCATTCTCACAAATTATGGTAAGAAAATACATTTGTAAATTAGTTTGAGGAGCAGCTTTTTAATTTGAAACTACATATCATAATTACAGGGTATGATACCTGGATTCAGTCAAGATTTCATGTCGAAAGGTACAGAACAGGAATCTATGGCTAGGTTGAAAAAGTTGATGACGATAATGGATAGTATGAACGATTCAGGTAAAAAATTGATGAAATTTCTTAAGTAACACTTGAATGTAAAATAATTGAATATGAATAAAATTGTTAATTTATCACAGAACTTGATAGCAGAGATGGTGCCAAGTTATTTAGCAAACAACCTGGAAGAGTTACAAGAGTGGCTCGTGGTTCTGGTGTAACAGAAAAAGATGTCAAAGATTTAATAGCTCAATATACTAAATTTGCAGCTGTAGTTAAAAAGATGGGTGGAATCAAAGGCTTATTTAAGGGTGGTGATATGACGAAAAACGTTAATCCAGCTCAAATGGCTAGACTCAATCAACAAATGGCAAGAATGATGGATCCAAGGGTATTCCATCAAATGGGTAATTATCAACTATTTTCATCATATTAGTCAATCAATTAAAAATGATGAACGCCTAATTATTTTTATTAAAAAAATCATTTTCACAGGTGGAATGGCTGGCTTGTCTAATATGATGAGGCAATTGCAACAAGGTACTACTGGTGGCTTGAGTAATTTAATGGGAGGTTTAGGTGGTCAGTCTTAAAAATAGTATTGTGATATAAATGTCACAAAAATTTTCTACTGTTGATAGAGCAGTCTGATAAAGAGGCAGCAACTGCCTTCATGAATTTTTGTTGTGGATACTGAATTTTTAAAGTTACTATTGCTTTTGTATTATCAATTAAGATATATGAAGTTTTTTATATAATATTTACCTGGTATATTGTAAAAGAACTGTACTATAAATTTTCAAAACTGTTATGTGTGTTTGAGATTCCAGTTCATAATGATTCTTATAGAGTGTACTTTGGATTGTTTATCAATTTTCATTTAGATTGTGCTTCCAATAATTACAATATTGACAGATACTAAAAACTAAAGTTAAGTATGACTGTGAAAATAGAATGGATGATTTAGAATGTTATGTATGGTTTAAATCATGAAATCATGTAAAAATGCTCAAAAAATAAATTGTGTATAAGATCAATGAGAATTTATGAAAAAATCAAATGACCACTTAGTTATTGCAAGTTTTCTACATTATAAAATCAATATGTATAATATAAATAAAATACACAATACATAATATACTTTATATGATATATTTTTAGTCAAAATCTAAATCATAGGAATCTCAATTGTTTGCCCTTTAAAAATCAGCTGATTTGAGATGTCATTACAAAGCAATGACATAGACATAACCTAAAAGTTTGGAAACCAAGCTCATGCTTTTATAAATTATTAAGAATTCCTGAAATAATTTAAATAGTTAGCATTAAATGACTTGGAAATCAGATATTAGAAGATTTAATTCGGTAATGATCGTAGATCAATTTTATTAAACAAATATTGTGCTATTCAAACGAAAATTTGTCGAAAGTTTCTTAAATAATTGAATAAATTACGTTCTTTATTGTAAAACAACTATATTAACTATGTAGCTATTTACTGTCTATTCTGCCTAATAATCTACAAATATTTTAACAGTCGTAAATAAATCAAATGAGAATATTATATAATAAGAATATTGTATAGAGTTATACATGGAAAATATTGAGGGTTAGAAATGAAAGCTTAGTTATTGTTTTAATCTAATAATGTTTTGTAGATTTACTAGAGTTCAAAATAAACAATGGAGAATGAAGTTAATAAGAAACATATACCAGGAGATGGATTACGATCTCTTCGAAGTACATCATTATTTAGAGCTATTAACTTTGAACTCTATGTTAAACCAGTGAGTACTAAAATTTGTTTTTAATATTACAGATTATAAACTACATTATATAAATTCTACAGAATAAAATTATAATGGCCTTTGGATTAATTGCTATGGCTGGTGCTAGTGGTTATATAATTTATATGAGATCAAAGTATGAAAAAATGGGATATTACACAGCAGTTGAATCAGATGGTACAGAATCTTTTAAAAAAAGAGCATCAAAATGGGATTTGTAGTTGGTTTTATTTTTGCTAGTATAATTTTAATGCTATTATTGTAAATATGAGATAAAGAAATCTTAAATATTGTTATTTTTTCAAACAACTTTTCATTATTTAAACTGTGATACAACTTACAAGACTACATCTAACATGTTATATTTCCCTAAACAAACACTTTTAAATAAACACCATCAACAATCTCTAAGAGGTAATTCATCAATATATTTTAGAACAATGCTTTTTTAACATCAAATTTCTAATCAAGTACTTAAAAGTAGCCTAAACGCAACATTTAATAATATTAATTACATTTTCAGAACAACTATTTTGTTACTTAATCTCCCAACTTTTGTTTAATTAAAATATTTGAAGAAATATAAAGAATCATCTGGTTATAAACAAAATAATCTTTGAACATGTTTAAATTGTAATTGAACAATGCTTAAAATCGATTAATTTACTTAAAGTAATGTATTACGATTGAAATTATAAGAATTTAGTAACGAATGGTAATTTCAAGTGGCAGTATTTAGCTAACACTTTCTAAAATCTTCAAGACAATGATTGAAACATTATATTATTGTTACTGTTATTATTTTTATATTATTATCACCACGTGTAAAGCAACATTATTAAAAATATATTGTAATATTTAATATTTTTTCCACATTTGACACTTGTAGACCCTTTCTAGGTATGATAATATCAGTATAATTACTATATAATCTCGTATACATATATCATTGTATGCATAAATAGCCAAATTTTTTCGGTTTTATTAAATTTATTATGAAGATAAACAAAAAACCAATTTGTTATTTTTCAGTCATTTATCCAAAATGTCAATTCAATGTTATCCAGTAGTTATCGCATGTAACTACTTTCTGATTGATCGAAGTATTTTATGAACTATACAAAAGATTGTGTAATAAAAAAATATACATTTCAAAATTCAGTATTAATGCATCAAAATATTTATATTGACATCATTGAGAAAAAGAATGTTGCTTATACTCTTAACTTGCAAAATATTTTGTACTTTTTAAACATATAAAGACTCACTTATCAAATTTTAAATTTAGGTAACTATTGCTTTATGATATTTTTGTTACTGCATCATGAATAGCTTCTGCTACATAATCGAGATTTTTTTCATTAAGGCCACACATGTTAATACGGCCACTGCGTAAAAGATAAATATGATAATTTTTAATTAAATGCTCCACTTGTTTTTCTGCAATAGAATTAAATAGAGTTATTATAATCTACTTATAAATGCAAATACTTGATTATATTTACCTGAAAGACCAGTATAAGAAAACATTCCAATTTGATCGATTATATGTTCCCAAGTACCAGGTGTTTTTAGCTTATTTAATCTTTCATAAAGACCTTTTCTCATTTCTTTAATTCTACCAGACATAGTACGAATATGATCTTTCCTGCAAAAGAGCTACATGTAAAAACTATGCATGATCTTTTCAATGTATTGTAAAGCAGTAGTGATTATCCAACAAAATTTGTATGCTTACCATTCTTCAAAAAGCTGAGAATTGTTGAGTACAGTTGAAACTACTCTAGCCCCATGATTAGGAGGATTGCTGTACATTCCTCTTACTATCAAAGTCAATTGCGACTTCATTTCAGGAATTTGCTTTGCACTATTAGATACTAAAACGAAATTTCCTACTCTTTCATTGTATAAACCAAAGTTCTTTGCAAAACTTTGAGTACAGATAAACTCAATACCACGAGAGTCAAATAGTCTCACAGCATAAGCATCATGGTTTAAATCACCACTTGCAAAACCCTATTAACAAAATAAATACATGAAGCTTTGAGTTTCATTAATTTAATACATGGTTAGAATCAATTATGAAAGTTACTAATTGCAGGTCTACATATACTTGTTTATAGTGTTAATAGAAGAAAAAATGTCTGAATTAGATTGCATAAAATAAACAAATATATGTAGAATCTTGGTAAGGGTCTAAGTTCCAAGCTGTACTTACTTGATAGGCACTGTCAAATAAAGGTAATAAATGTTTCTCTTCAATAACATCAGCTATTTTTTGCCACTGTTCATGAGTAGGATCACAACCTGTAGGATTATGTGCACATGCATGCAAAATAATAACTGCATTCTCTGGAGCATTTCTCAAGTCTTCTAGCATACCATCCAAGTCAATACCACGTGTTTTTGGATTCCAATAGCGATATTCACAATTCTTTTTAAAACCACCATTGATAAATACTAATCTGTGATTTTCTGAAAATATATTTTTAGATTAATTTTATTCTATTGATATGATTATTTCTTATAAATAATTATTCTTACCCCATGTTGGTTTACTATAATAAAATGTATCAAGATGCAGAATTCGAGCAAGAAATTCAGCAGCAATTCTAAGTGCACCTGTGCCTGACAGTGATTGCACTCCAATTACTCTACCTTCACGAATAGCAGGTGAATCTTTTCCTAATATCATAGAAGTTGCTGCTTGACTGAAACTATCCAAACCAAGTACTGGAAGATACTCATGGTTCAATGTTTCATCTGCTGACATGGCAGATTCAGTTTTTTTAACCACTGGCAACACCCATGGTTTGCCTTCACTTGTCCTGTAAGCTGCAATAATACAATTACAAAGTACTCTTTAGATTACCATTTATATTAAATTATCATTTATAATCTAGTTTATAAAAGTTCTTATATTTATATAGATTGAGTTAAAATTTTTTAATTAAAAAATTCAACTTGGATTACGAGTATAAATGTTCTAATACTTTTTTAAATATTCTCCAACAATATCTAAAGAATTGTTAGTATATGCATTAGATATATATCTACTATTGCATAACCTTTATAGTTTGCCAAGGTTATATGCACACTTCTAATTAAGGAAAATTCCAGCAGTAGACATGTTATGACTAAATAGACATTTATTAAAGTTAGAGAAGAAGTAAATAATTTTAACATAAAATTAAGATATAAAAGTACAAAATAAAATTAGATAGAAAAATGTAGCTGTTAATAAGCACATTAATACCTCCAATAGTTAAATTAACTTTTGGTGTATGAGGATCATCTTGGAAAGCTTTGCTGAGTGCAAAGACTTCAATGGGTGGTCCTAATTCGATTCCAGTGAATATAGTGCTTGCCATTTTTACGATAGATTGATACTGTTTTTGAAACTTGGATTCCAATGAGACTCTTCACCTGCTTATGAGTAAATGTTATTGAGAAAATTTGTTCATTCCTATATAATCTTCAGTAAACATGCTTACCTTATCAATTAATCGTAGTTTTACGAAATGGCATTAGTCGATCGGATCGATAGTCAATAAAAATATTATTTACCGTTGAACATTTTTCCAAAGACTGTGAGTTCAAGAAGGTTTTAATCTGAAAAGATGAAAACAGGTCCAAATTACGGAGGATTTTTTGTCACGCGCCACGACTCGCAAGCTCATATTAAGCTCTTATACTTAGTAACCTTACCGAAAAGTCACATGTGCGTGCAGAAGGACCACGTGCTGAAGATGAGTGATTACTGTATCAGAGTTATAGATAAGAATACGATTTGAAAGCGGAGAAGAGAATTTAGTAACACGCCTATAATTACCGTAAAGTATTGCGTCGAGATAACCTCGTGCGGGTCATTTGTTATCTTTTATCTCTTCTACTCACTACTAGTGTTTCTAGTCTATCTACATTTCTAGTATAAGTCGAAGACATCACGCATGCGTTCTAATAAGCTTTCCAGGCACATTATTCAAAAATATAATTTACATTTTATTTCAGCGTACTTTTATTAAATTGTGAGTTGCGTATGACAGTAGTTATGGAAAAAAATAATTGAACGCATATCGCATTCGAATGATTAACTTGGATTTAATTTAAAAACATTTAAGAATACATATTGCGCCGTTTAAAATAATCCTTTACCGAAAGTATTTTTCGTTTTATAAATAAAAAAATGATAAATTAAAAAATTGCAAATTAAATTTTTTTTCTGTTTTGGCAAACCCGTAGTGAAGTATATAAAAGATTTTTAGTATAAAATAAATATTCAAAATTGTGAATATCAACATTTTTATTAAAAATGTAATTCAAACTTTGTGCGTTTTATTTCATCTCTTTATTTTATTCCAATATATTTCAACTATCCAGACTCTGTTATCAATTTGTCTCATAACTCCAATAATTTTAAATCATTTGCATCCAGAGGTAATGCACGCCGAAGATGAGTGGTTGCTGTTTCAAAACTCGTAGATAACACACGATTCTATGTGTTTAATGCGATGGAGCATTTGGTAAGCGCATTTGTCCTTGAGGAATATGAATTTCTCAAGAATTTTCATAAATCTACATTTTACAAAAATAACAAATGATATGTAAAAAGTAAAAGTTTTCAACGTAATTTTTTTATATCGTTTTACGTCTTTATTACATCTTCTATAAAAACATTTGAAGTAATATATATATACGAGTGCTATATTAAAAATTTATTATTAATTCGTAACTGCATAGAATGAGATATACAATAAATACTAATTCGATTGGCAGCATTGCATGAAAAATTGGCAGTGTTACCTTCGTATAATTCATTAGAGAGTCTCTTGCATTATTTATCGTCTACGTGAACATAAAAAAAGAATGAACCTTAACTGTTAAAGTGTACTCTGTTACCCAACATAAAAACGATCTGTCACGCGTTCTTTAAATATTACTATTAATATATTGCTTTTTTTTAAGAAAATCAATACTTTCATCGAGAATTATTCAATTGTGGCACTAACATGGATAAACTTGCATATAAGAACTTTGAAGTGCCCCAGAACAAATGACTAGTACAGACACATTTTTCTGATGTGTTCGAGTCCTCCTTTTTATCTTTATCGTACATAGACACGAAAGTTACTTGTCGGACAACATAAATTCAATCAGTTACACATACATGTAAATGTAATAAATATTAAGTTTGATTAAGCTAGTCGCGGCATTGGCTTTTCCCCTCTGGCCGCGCGTTCGGAAACCTAAAAATTAAAAGCGATATTGCATGATATTCTTCTACGACACGGCAGCGTATTATATATTATATAAAAACTGATACGTAGATCGAAATGCAGCGTACGTATTATTTTCTGTTTGTTTGATTTCGTTGTGAACATACAACGCATACATGTACAAGTATTATGTTAGCTCGCCTCGACATTACGCTATTGCTGTGAAAACAATTAAGTCTACGTAAAATACTCGTTCAGCAAAGTAAAACTATCTATTACAAAGGCTGATTAGAATAAAAAATAGATATATGTACACACATTCATTTCATACACGACAGATATTGCGCGTTTGGTTAAACATTTATGGCATCGACATAAAAAGACATTCGCTAACAGAATTTGCCACTACTTATTATTCAATTATTGTCCAGTGTTGCATTTCATTATTGTCACTTGGAGGTTGAAGTTTGGCGAGCTCACGGCGGCAAGACGTTGAGTTTGAGGCCCGGCGAGGGCGCGCAAAATCCGCAGTAGCCACCGCACTTGCCGTAAACCTGCTGATTGTTCTGTAATCGAGAAATACACGAAATGCTCGAGCGTCCTTTCCCCTTGGATGTCGCTAATGCAATGTACGTACAACTTTGTTGATCATTGTGTAAGTGTTGGGTTGCTTCGGCCAATGAACTTCCGGCGCCAACATCAGGAGCGTGCCGCTAAGATTGATGGAGAACCGACCTTGCGGGCAATCCCTCTGACTGTAGCAGTCACCAGATTTGCCGTATGGAATATGATTGGGTCCCGCTTTCATGGCGAATCGGTAATCGTCGGCTGCAAAGTAAACGCGAGCTGCTGTCAAATCGGGCTCTCTCTCTCTCTCTTTCTCTCCCTGTCTTTCGCAAACGTGCATCTCCAGTGAAAAATCTTACCGATAACGTGCAAAATATGCACATCGATCCGGATCCTTTTAAACATCGTCCTGCCCGCGATAGCGTCAGTGCCGTCAGCGCATTCGCAGCTATCGTTTCGTATTCCGTTGTAGGGACAAATGGTAGGGTCTCGCAGCCTTGAACGGAAAAAAACAGCGCATAAAAATCGATCGGCCAGCACGCGTCGTTGTTGATCCGCCACAAGAGCAACGAAAAGAAGCCTTCGCCAAGAGCAACGTGGTACCGTTTGTCGTAAATTTCCGCGTAATTCTCCCGCTCGCCGGTGGGCAGAGTGAGATATTCGGTGGGCTCGTTCGCGTCCATGGCGTGACAGTAAATGGACATGTAGCGTCCACCGACGAGGATGGTGTACTCGCCGTCAACGTTGGTCTTCAAGCGCGTCTGCACCTCGAGGCAGGTGGTCGGGCCGACGCACAGCTTTTGGTTGCACTTGCGTTTGCGCTGCGGACGAAGCTGGGGCAGGCAGTGGCCGCGGCGCTTCACCTTCTTGTTATGGCGCACGTCATAGCAGAACAAGCGACGCGACTGACGGCCCTTGCGACCGCACTGCTGCGAGCACTGCAACAACATTAGCCAATCTCACGGACGTGCACTAAGCGCGCGCACCGTCGCTTCGCAAGCTTATTGCGCTCTTCCTCGTATTTACTTTTCTCCAGGGCCCTGGCTGCCAGACGTACTGATCGTTGCAGTTGCGCTGCTTGCACCACTGCTGGCTCACGGGCTTGTCGCTCAGCGAGCACTTGATCGACGATACGGGACTCGGATCCTGCCAACCCCAGCTGTTCACCAGGTGGCAGCTCACCTCGCGTCGACGCATCCCGTTGCCGCAACTCACCGAGCACTGCAAACATTTCATTTGCTGATCTTCGATACGCACGGCGAATCGGGCTGCACTACGCTTTGGTCTCGTCGGTTATCTAACTCAAGTACTGAATCGTTCGTTACGAGTCCTCCATATTTTTGCAATGAATTAAGTAGCGACAAAAGAAAACACATGTTGGAAAAGAATACTTGCTTGTCATAATTTTTTTTATTGTTTCGAGTCGTTTGTAAAAGTGTTTCCAAACAAAAAAGAAAAAAAAGAAAAAAATGCACTTGAACGTCGTCATTATGAGTTTAGTAATTCACCTCACTCCAGGGCCCTGTACGCCACTTGTACGTAGCGACAGCCTGCGAGCCGAAGTTATTTCTGTTGGGCCGACACTCGGCCTTCTGACAACGTCTGGCGTGTTTCGGCCTCGACTTCTCCGAACAATCACTGTCGTTCACGATTTCACCCCGGAGATCCTGGCAGAGCACCTGTCTATGCTGGTAGCCTTCGCCGCATTTCACGTCGCACTGTTTTAGTCAAAGAACGTCTATTAAAACATCGCTTAAAAAGGATGATTTTCGAAAACGTACTTGGTTCCAACCACCCGTCGTCCAATTCGGACACTGATGTTCGTTACAAGCGACCGTGTCGTTCGGCCGATTGTTCGCGTCGCAGTAGCCTATATTGGGTACCACTTTGCTCGTCTCTATCGAGATACATTGGACTATCTGCCTGGCAATGCCTCCACCGCACGATTTCGTGCACTAGAATAAAAATGACACATCCGTTTTGACAACTGCTTTTGCCGCGACAGTTCATTCGCATCAACGACTCACCGTCTCAAAACCTTCGATATGCCATTCGTAGCCTGAGCGGAATGATATTCGATGGCCGTCCACCTCGTTCTCGTGCTGAGACAGCTCGTCGCTCGGCAAGTGCGACGAGTACGTGACCGGCGTGAAGGTAGCCTAAAAAGCCAAGAAATTCACCGCCCTCGCTCAAATTTTGCGTTAATTGCAGATTTGTGCGGACATTGCCATACCTTAGTGGGGCATGGACTTTGCGGGCAGCTAATGCTGTTGAAAGGCCTGGTTAGTGGGTCGCAATGGGAAAACGTGGTCGCAGTGCCATTAGTGAATTTACATGTAACCGTTCGTCGGCGAATGCCCTCGCCGCACGTGGTCGAGCACTAAACATGGATTATCAATGAACGACTCGATGCGAAGGCATCGTTCGTCGGTTTTCTATGGACATTTACCTCGTTCCAGTCGCCCGTTTGCCAAATGGGGCAAGATCCAGCGTCGCAGACTTCCGTGATACCGGTGGGGTGGCCCTTGCAATTGCTCGGATGAACAACGCGATTATCTATTCGACACCAGTAAGGTCGCTGCCGCTTGCCGAAGCCGCAAGTCACCGAGCACTGTAATGCAAACAATAGAGGCGATTGTTCGCGAAAAAACGAAGCAACAGATCGAAACGAAACAACGGGCTTACAGGGCTCCATTCGCCGAACGTCCACTTGGGACAAGCCTGATGAACCCCGCACAATTGCCTAATAACTCTCGCCTCCTTCGAGCAATTTCCCTCCTGGACGGTTTTGTTATCTCTGTCGACGCATAGCGCCGTTCTAGACTGCACCCCATTGTCGCCACAAGTCACCGAGCAGGTGCTCCACTCGCTGTACAACCAATGAGCATAGTCGCAAGGCCCTTTGCAGGGTCTCACCTCGTGCGGTCTATCGAGGTGATAACACACGTACGGCGGCACGTTTCGCGTACGCAAGTCCGGCCGGTCGAGATTGATTTGGACGCAGTGGTGCTTCACTACTGTCGTGCCTGGCCCGCAGTGGCTCGAGCACTCGGACTTGGTGTTCGCTATCTCTTGCCACTTGAGCTCGCAATGAGTGTTGCAAGGCCGGTTCATCTCGGGCGGCTTATCCTCGATCGGGCAGTACGACTCCGACATCAGCTCTTTCGTCTCGGCGTTGCGACACAACGCCTGGCGGTACGAGATGCCTTTGCACATGCGATCGCACGGAGTCCAATCGTTCAGGATCCACGTGAACGTCGCCAGAATTCGCTTCGGCACCGTGTATTCGTATGTGATTTGCGGCGGGTACACGTTACCCACCGACAAAATCTGCAAGACAAGCGTACCAAACGAAACTCACCTTCGATTGTTTTGTTTTTCACGTGCGAAATTTACCTCGAGAATAAGGTCAACTTGGATAGGTCTCGAGCTGTTCAGTCTTTCGACCACTTGTTCCGGTCCGCTGTACTCGATGGTGACGCCAGGTTGGACGATCACTTTACGATGCATCACCATAAAGTTGCCATTGAGTATGTACTTTCCACCCTCGTTCAATCGTAGGGCTAAAAGAGAAAGCCGAAAAATCGAAATGAGCGGTAATAGCCGAGTGCGGGGTCAGGAGTGTGAACGTGCGTTCGCATTGCGAAACCAACCGAGATAATTGCTGTCGTTGTGCGATGCTTTCCAGCCGTGCTGTCGAATATCGATGTAACTGCTGCCAGCCGGTATCTTGGTAATTCTGGTGTAGCCGTACTCGCTGGAATTGTACGAGCCGGTGATCCTCTGGCAACTGGAGTTGTCACCGCGGCATACGCCGCAAGTATCGAGTGCAGCTGTGGAGTTGAGCATGTGATCGCAACCGGCGGGCTTACAGTGGCCGTTGACGCACACGTGGAAGGTGTCCGGGCCGCAGGGCGTACCGTCGATCACCTTGTCTCGCAGCATGTAATACTGGTTACCTGCCACCTGGCAGTACAGCTTGCAACGATCCTCCGGCAGTACTGTTGAGCGCGTTTGCCATCGTGTTAGTATTGTCTCTCGAGGCGCGGTGGCGGGCCAACGCCGCGCTAAAACTTCGGAGCAAATCGACGCGATTGCAGTCGAGATGTATACTTACTGCGAGTGTACTTGGCGTGCCACTTGACGTTCTTCGCCAAGTTACGGATGTTCCGGTTGTCGTTGTCGAAAGCTGCGCACTGCTTTTCCCTATTATTTTTTCATTTCAGAGCGAACGTTATTAACGTGGGTTCACATTACAATTCTCAATCTTAATCGGTAGAACTAGGTCTTTTCAAGATTACAAAGTGGACTTATGTACAAGTTTCTTATATTGCTATTAACAGCTATCTCGTTTACAGAGTAAACAGTGAAGCTGAGCAAAGCCGAGCGAGAGCGAAATCCATGCAATCGAAATTGTCAAATAATCGCCCATTAAAAATTCAGCAACGAGCACTGCCTTGTGCTTGTGCTCGTTCCAAGACGGATAAGAGATGGGCGCGCGCGCGACAGTCGGCAACGAAGAAGCGAAGAGAAGCAGAAGCAGAAGCAGAAGAAGAGTTAGGCATACCGGAAGTCGGTTGAGCCCGGCGGGCACTCCCTGGTGTTGCAGCTCCTGTACCTGACGCGCTCGCCTACGCAATAGTTGCCGCCGTGCTTGGGCGCGGGGTTGTTGCACTCGCGGTACTTCCTCTCGATGCCACCGCCACAGCTACGCGAGCACTCGCCGTAACTGCTCCAGTCGCCCCACTGGCCGTCGAGCGGCTCCAGATTTTCGCGCGACACGCACTCGCCGCGGTGACACCACTTTCCTGGGCCGCAGACTGTGCCGTCTGCCCATGGCATGTGCTGCGTGTGGCATTCCTCGCTCCGGTCATCCCAGTACGGCACGGTACACCAAAGCCGCTTGCATACTGCCTGGCCCGTAACCAGCACGCTTGTAGATTATGTTTGGTCTTTTCTTTTCTTACGTGGCTAAGGGCACTTCGGCTCTTTCACTTTGCGCCGATAACTCGGCCGATTCGATAATTCCAGTTTTGAAACTACTCGTGTTTTTATTCGCTCGTTTATCAGGACGAAAGGTCAACTTGGCAACGAGCGTCGATTAGCCTGAACGATCGGTATAAGTTTGGCGCCCATTTATCCGAATACCGCTCGCTTGTTTTCGTATTTCGCCAATAAGAGAGAAAAACCACAAGCCCCTTTAAATCCGGATGTCAAGTCCAATCAACGTGCGAACGCGAGGAGCGCAGCGACAATAGAACGGCATTCCCTTTTCAATCAGTGCCCCGTTCACTCAGAAAGAGCCACCCACTCTCTTACATATGTGGACGCTGCCATAAATCGCGCACCTTACTCGCTCCGCAGCTCTTGAGAGCGAGGGAGAGTGAGCGAGAGAGGGAGGGAGGGAGGGAGAGGGGGTGGCTCTCTTACGATATATACATTTTTTTTTTCGTTGCTACTCACTGCGCGCGCCTTCGTGATTTACAGCTTTGAAGGTATATATAACGTGTGTACGCGAGTATGTGTGTACGGTTGTAGGCTTTCTCACGTCGTAACTTACCATCGCTCACCATGTGCGGGCAGATCTCCGAGCGTTGCCCGTAGACCAGCTCGCATTGCTTGTTCTCCGAGTAGTCCTCGCCAGGCAGACGACTGTTGAGCGAGCGCGACATCACTTTGCCCTCGCCCGGCTTGTCCAGTAAGCAGTTGCCGCTACCGGCGCTGAAAAAGAAACAGCGAGCGTGATGCGACTGACGACCTGCGGCTCTGCGAGTCCGAAGATCGTATTCGTGTTGTTGTCGAGTCTCTCGCCGATTCGGCTCGCCTATTCGATGGCTCACGGCCGAGTACTTTGTTCACGGGTCATTTGCGTTGCGGCAAAAACGACAACTGGTCGGTGTACGATCCGCGAGATCGAGGCCTCTGCTGTTCGATCGAGTAGGGCAGCTGCTCGAGATCTCGCTGCATAATATGGAGTGGCGCGCGGGCCGGCGCGGGCCGGCGCTGGCCTATGGCAAATATAGCATGCGCATGTCCAGAATGCGCCTCTGTATAAATACTCACTCGAGGAACTCGGTGACGTAGTGTCTGGAGCACTTGGACCATTCCCAGGGCACGGTGTTGTCGTCGAGCATACGCGACATGATGTTGTGCACGCCGGATTGGTCGCGAAACCTCGTGCACTTTGGGTCGTCGTCGTGCGGCATATTTAGCCTGTCGCAACAAAAAAGAGAGCCGGTTTTTCCGATTATCGACGATAATGGCCGCGAGATGGATCCTCATTAACGGCTTTGGCGAAGCGCGAGACTGACTTTGGCTCGTGCGCGCAACGCTGCGCCGGTTATTTTTAGCAGGCCGATTCGATTAGTTCTTTTTTTATCGTTCGAGCGAACTTTCAATGAGAATCAACGATTTTCAAGAAACTCCTGATTGCATGCACAACTTATTTCCAAACAGTGTACGTTCGCACGCGTGATTACATTCTCGAATCAACATTCGTGGCCCAGACATTTGGCCGAAACGAACGTTTCCGCGCGAGTATCAAATTACGCGCGCGATTCTCATTCGTTATACAACTTTTGACCAAGCTTTCTAGCGCGTGAAACGCAATCGCATTTTGGAACGCTTCTCGAATGGAAACCCTAAGTACGCTCCGAGAGAGCGCGAACGATTGAGAAATTGTATAAAGTGTTTCATACACAGGCCGATGAACAAAGCCGACAGGCGAGAAGCGAGCGGGGATGCAATTACTGAAAATTGATTTAGCGAAAGAAAAGTTGGAAAATTTATATTTGTGTTATCTAGTACAGTGTTGAATCGCCGAGAAATTGCAGCAGCGCGCGACGTCCCAAAACCATGAAATGGAACAATTTGAAAAAAGCTTACTTATGCCCACTTATAAATCTAGAACGCACACATACAGAGTGGATATATTTTGATTGTAGATCTCTCGCGTCTGCGTGCTTATTTATCTGGCTAGTCTTACCCCTCACGCGGCAGCAAAGAGATACGATCAAACGTACGCATACGCACGCACGTTTCAAAGTCAAATTACGTTCAATGGGCCGGTAATTTACAGAAAAAAGGAAAACTGTTTGAAATCCCATCGCCGCGAGAGCATATATACTTACACGTGGCCAATCTCATGGGCGATAGTGAAAGCAGTCGCAAGCCCATTATCTTGGACGATCGCGCACGACGATCCTGGCGAACACATCCTCCCGAGTTCGGCCAGACCCAGCGTGTCGCATCGCCGTTGATCTGGATTGTGACACAGATTTTCTCTGCGAAAAGACATTGCTTGCTTTGCCGTGGTCGCTGCATTAAGTATTCCCGAGGCATATGGAGAAATTGGCTATTTTCGCGGGCCACGCCGGCGTTCGCGGCTTTCTGTTTGCCTTGGCTTTTTCCGCCGCTTTATCGGCGACTCTTCGCGAGAGCCTTTCCTTCCTCTCAGGCCACGGATTATCCAGCTTTGTGTTCCTCGCGCGACGGCTCTCGACGGCGATGCGCCCGTTTCCAGGTAAAGCTCTATTCTCGGCGTCGGATCCGCGAAAAGTCTCTTGGAGGCTCGCCCGGACAAATTGCGCGCTCGGCCATCCGTCTTTGCCACCTGCGCGCGACGCGCGTTCAATCGCTGGAATCCATTACTGCGCGCGAGAACAAGAGAGCTGCGCAAAAAGCGACGTGGCGCGAATCAAATTACCGAGTCGTTCATTATCGCGCGAGAAATATCCGTCGGCCGAACGAGCGCTTGCGAAATATCTGTTTAATTAAAAGCGACAAGTTGTAAAGTTGTAAAGTCTTCACATTTGCTTGAAAAAAATTTATTAAACCAGTTGTTACGCACGGCACGTTAAATTGGCCAAGTCGCGTTGTATTTGAATAGCCATGTATCAGGCCTGTCTATAATAAGCCAAGAAATAGAGGAAAAGCTCTCCCTGAAATAGCCGGTCGCGCGAGTAAGATCGTGCCCTGGCGCTAACCTGGTAAGAAGTAGAGCGGCGTCGTGATGTTCCGGGGACAGCTCGCTCGGATTGTTGAGCTTCTGCCAATGGCAGAACTTCCTGAGCATCTCGGCGGCGCCAATGCCGTCACTGTCCCGCTGCTTGGTGCCGAACACCTCATCAACCTGCTTGATGTTGATGACGGCAATGCTCACCGGATTGCCGATCGACGGGTCCTTGTAGATGCGCGACACCTTTGTCAACAGGGGGAAGGGCTTAGGGTTTAGCAACGGCGTCGAACGGCTTCGCGTGTAAATAGCAACTCACGGTGCTCATGAGGACTAAGATGTAACTGGTGAGGCTTGGCCCGTGGTAATCTATCATCTTCGAGTCGGCGACCACCATTATCTCGATGAAGTACTCGCGCGGCATGGCGCGTCTCGTCCGCCAGCTCCCATAAATATCCAGATCCGAGCCGCGGTCCGCCCAGTCCAGCTCCGCGTAACTGTACACACACACACGCGCGCGTGCCCGGATAGTTTCTCTCTTTTCTTTTCTCTCCTCGGCGAGCTTATCGGCACACGCTTTCAGCGGCATTTCACAGATAACGCTCATAGAGCTCCTTTTGCGCCGTTCAAACGCCCTTTATCTCACAGCCGTTTGATGTTTTGCAAATAAATCCATTTTCTTTTTCGGCTCTCGATTATCATCAGTGCCGTCTGTTTCTGCGCTCCCCTTTATCGGAGGAAGCGTATTCTCGCGCGACCTCGAGCCGCGCGATGAGATCGAATGCGAACAATTGCATCGTGAATCGCTCGCGACGCGCGGCTTGTTTCGCACACTGCGAAATCACGCGCGTAAACCCCGGGATGATCGACGAGGCGTACTTTCCAACGTTCATTAAATATACAGGAATCGCCGAGGTGTTTCATTACAATGTTCTCTCTATGCAATCAATTCATCAACGACTTGCATAATCATGGGTTATTAAGCCGCGCGAGACCGAGTGTTTAACTTGTATGTTTTCCATGATAGATCGCCATTTGGCCGTAAGCTCATAGGTAAAAAGAGGAAAGGAACTATCACCTGTTGTCATCTCTTTCGTAGGGATAAGTCACGTGCCTGCGTCGCCTCCTTCCGCGTAGCTCGTCGTCGATCGCCGTGTCACCGGCATCGCCAGTCTCCTTGGTATCGGTATCTGCGATCGGAGGACAAAAATCCACGTACTCTCTGAATATCTGAATGTCGTCCGGGAAACAGGAAAAAATCTCGAGGTCCGACCACGGTCGATTGATGCATCACGAGTGGCTCATTTAATTGCAGTCGCTGTAAAACGGTTTTCGCATTTTCGCCGCGCGTTTTCGGATCTGATTGCCCCTCTCGAGTGCCATTTCCCCGGCGCAAGTTACGCAATCGCGCATAAATCAGCGTGGTCAAGTATATGGACAGGCAGTGCGGAAAAGCCGCGCCGGTACCGTTATAACGTGCAGCAGAGAGAAAAAGCAGGGTTGAGGATATAATCGGTATAGAGTCATCGTCTGCGAGGTCGCGCACGCGACTCTCCGCACGCGAGCATAAGGAGCCGCTTTTACGAGATGCTAATGCCCCTAGCACGAGCTGCGCGAGGTGTCGCGAGCTGCTTTAATAATGAGCCCGTCACACGATAGCGCGCACATGTCTTCCCTTCTTTCTCTCGCGTGACCCCGATGAACGTCGGCGATTTCGAAATTGCAAGGACGTTACGTTCATCCGTCTGACTTTACGAGCGATTTGCATGAAACCTGACGTTTTTTTTATCTGTAAAGCGGAAAACAAAGAATCTCCATGCCAAGTGAAAACCGATTGCTGCTTCGATTTCACGTCGTTTGTTCTCGTCCAGTGATTAATCGCGCGCGCGCGCGAGAAGATACAAGACAAAGTTAAAGTCATCGTCGGGCGCTTAATAAATGGCCGCGGCGCGACATAATGGACGCACCTTGCAGAGAGCGCGCGCGCGTCAACTAGGAAGCGTTCAGGTTAGATCCACTTAGAGCGGCGGCGACGACATAATGGAGTGCGAGAAAAACCGGTACTCTCCGCTGTCAATCGGCGGAATGCACGCGTGCGCGTTATCCGTTAGGTCGGCGGGAACTTCGGCATAACAATGAGCCGAGAGAATTCACCGAATCTATATATGCGCGAAGGTCGTTAATCAAACACGGACTGTCGATTAATTTCGAATTTTATCGACTTGTCGCCCGTCGCACAGTGCATTCGTAATTAATAGCTCCGGCTGTGATTGAAAACTCACCGATCATCAGGCCGCATTCGCGTGTTGCGGTTGCATTGGCGACAGTTGGCTCGGCGATGTCAGGTAGGTCGTTGGCCGTACGATTACCTGCCGACGCTGCTGCTGCAGCTCCAAGGTTGACCTTGGGTTGACGATAGATTACATGTCGTAGTGGCGAGCCAACTGGACCCTGTTCTGTTGGCTTTATCAGGTAGTTGCCGCTCGATGTTCGCAAGTGGCCCGTCTGCGTGTTTTCAATGCAACAAAATTCAAATTTACGACTAGCTTTACTTCTTCGACTACCGCAACAGGCTGATTAATGGTGAGTGCACGTGCTTTGACTAATGGCTTCATGGTAATCAAGTAGTTACGTGTAAAATTCAAGTTTAACAATCATCGTTCGGACGTAATATCGACTATTGCGATTAATTATATTTTTCTTCTGGATGTCTTTGATATTCAGTCCATTATTGGCACGAAATGATCAAAACAATATGTAGAAATAATGGAAAAGTCACGTTGAAAGTAGAAAACTTTCACGGCACGTGAACGAATGAATTAGAGACGATTTGTTATGATCTTGAAATGTCAGGCGAGATACTTCCAAAAAAAATATTTTCTTTTTCCGCCTTGTCACGTCAGTGAGCCGATAGTTTATCATCGCGCGGCAGCCAGTGTCGACCGAGGCAAAAAGTTCATCAGTGTTTATAAAGAGGATATGTGAGTGTGAGGGGAAAATCTCGCCAAAACCGAGGAAATTGACTTATTGTGGAATCCCTCGTAGCAATTTCGTGATGGATTATTGATTTATGTACCCTTACTCTTGACACCCCGATCACATCCCCATCGGGTCGTCGTCTATTCTAGGATTACGTAAGCTCGTGGGGACCACTTAATTTGGAAGTAAGCGCAAGCATGCATAAGGCCACGCGGTTTCTTGCTCTTACGTTGGCTCTGACTCACGATTGTAACAAGCGCCGCGCCAGCACCGTATATTTTTTCAAACTCGCGTAACAGAGTCGGCCTCTCTATTTTCGGGGATGGTTACGCATGCAATTTTTTTTTTTTTTTGGAGAAAATTGTTTTAATCCAACTGTAGATGTGTGCCGAAAAGTAAAAGAAGGCCCCTTGAAATGTGATACATTGTGAGAGAGATTAAAAATGTGGCTTACCATGCCGTGGCAAAGACTAACAGCCACGTTGGACTTGGGATCACCTTCGACGAAACCACTGTAAAAGCAGCCTAGATGGTAATCCGGATATTCTCGTCTGGTGATGTTGTCGCTTATGTGAGTTACCTGCGAACACATCCAAATGTGAAAGTGTTTTTCATCAATAATCAATTACTCGTGGTCGTTGAACGATGGATATATGTCGTTCCAAATCGACTTCTATTTTTGTTCTATATAGTCACGAGGAAATTCGCGTACGTTTGCTTTTTCATAACGCTACTTTTTTTCGGGAGTTACATTGCTCGTTCAAATTGCTGTATTTAAACGACGAAAGCTAGAAAGAAAAGAGAAAAGAGAGGAAAGCAGCATTCTGCCCGAGATAAAAAAATAGTGCTGCGGTCTGTAGCTGAAATAACCTAACATTAATCTCGGCTGTTCGCAGGTTGCCATCGCGTGATTTATAGGTGTTTGATTACTCTCTCTCTCTCTCTCTCTCTCTCTCTCTCTCTCTCTCTCTCTCTCTCTTCTCTCCCTCTATGTGGTGTAGTAATAAAAAAAAAAGAACATGTCAAAAAAGAGAGAAGAGATGAGTAAAAGAAGTAAATATCTATTTAGTTCGGTGTGATTAATTACCGCGAGCGGACACAAGCCTGCTGATAATAATTGATGACAGAGCTGTTAAAAGGTTAGTTGTTAATGAACCTTGGAGAGATGCGATTATAAATGGAGCAAGTCAGAGATCGGAATTCTCGAGTGTAAGTAGTAAGAAGCTTATTGGTCAGACGCTCACCGATACGCCGGATGGCGCGAAGCTACTGTCCTCCTTAAGACTCAGGTGAAACTTTCGACCAAAAGCTATGAACTCGTATTGAGGATGTGGGTCCCATACTTTGCTCTGTACATGACGGAAGTGTCCACTGTGGTGCCGCTCCGCTTTGGAATGCTCGTCGACTGCATATGGAAGTAAAAAAAAAGGCCGAATTTTTTTGAGTTTGTCGGTGTAAGTTTGACAGCTGTGGCGATTTGTCATTACGATTAGACGTCGAGTTGTAATATCACTTGCGCGAGGGCATTACCTAATGGAGTTTAACGCTTGCAATTAGAGTTTTTCTTTTTCATTTCGCACAATATATTGCCGTTATTTATTGAATTTCTATTATTGCGAAACTACATTCTTCGAGCGCGAGCGAGTAAGTGCAGTTAATTAGAAATCATAATCCCTGGCGAGCGCGCGCGCGCTAGTGAGAGCAAGCTAGTTGCGCAAGTTTTATAGGATTCGCTGTACGTCTGACAAATTGGAAAAATTATTGGAATCTTATGCTAATTGGCCTGTCTCCGATTACTATGCGTCGGACCGTGTCGAAGGATGACGATTGGAGAGAAAGAGAAGTAGAGCCGTCGAGCGCGCGGATGCTGAGTGATTAGGTAGCGTTTTGCTTGTCGTAACACGCCAGTTTTTTCCGTTCTATCGAGGGAAAACTGACGCAACGGCGCTGATGTACGGAGTGCGCGGTGGCAAACAATTACGCATTCTTTTCCCTGCGCTGTCGCGCGGCATTTGATTTCAAGCGGATAAAGAGCTGCCGCAGCGCCTTTCCATATTCCATTAAGCGCTCGCCGCGCTGCAGATTAATCGCATTAGATAAGACAAGCGTGTACGTGTGCGCGAATTGGAAAGCCACGCGAGCGCGCGCCTCTGTTTTATATTGCGATGACGCTTTCATAATTCGCATGACTGCCGCGCGCCACGCGCGACTCTACGTGGCGCGTCTTCTGCCGTAGCCCTTTGTCATCTCGATAGGGCCGCTCGTTTCACGCCACGCTGGGATTTCTCAAAATTGATATCTATCTTAATAACGCGACCGGAAAGGACCGCTTGTTGAGTCAACAGAAGTGGGCGAGCGGCGCGAATTCCTCTTTATTTTTTCCTATCCGAATCTCTAGTGGCGAATGCATCCCGAAGACAGACGCGCACGATGCCGAAATCAGATGTCTAGGAGGGATTAGAAGAGGCAAAAACCAGACTCACGGGGATCCTCGTAAGAATTTTGATTGGCCTTGGCCAGGACAATGTGCTCGGAGTCTCCACCACCACCGCTCGGCAAAATATCGGCTTTCCAGTGGCTCCAGGTTGGCTCGTCGTCCCGCCACTTTGGCTCCTCGCTCGTCGTCCCTGGCGCTGAAAAAAACCAAGCCGGAACACATGCACGTCAAAAACCCACGCTTAGCAACCTTTCAGCGGTAGAGTGGTAGCGTGTGATCTATTGTGAGGCACGCCAAATCCATGACAATAAACGGCAAAGTCAATTAAAGAGTTGCTCGGCTGGTGTATCAATGCTCTCATTTATTCTGTTGATCAAATTCGTCGTAGCCTTCACAAAGCCCGCATCGCCACAGATTTTGCGCGTTAACTGCCACCGCGCGATAGATTTCGAAAACTCGTCGATCCTCAGCTCTCAGATGAAAAAAAAACCGCACTCATCAATATTCCCCGGTCGATTTGCACATAAGTATTTCCATAAGCTATCATTAACATTGTACGCTTTACATAGCTAATAAACTAGATAGAATATACACGAAGTCGAATGATCGATGCACGCGACGAACTAAACGAGCATTAAAATAATCAAAGACATCCATCATACGTACAAGCAAAGGCCCGAAACGTTGCGAGATATATCTGTCTTTTGCGCAAATTGAATTTTCCGCTTGGTCGGCCCGTTGATAGGCTCAAAGTGGATCGACCAGTTATCTCGCTCAGTCGAGCTGTTTAACGCACAGTCAATGTAGTTCATGCCGCCGAAATTTCTCGAGGAGCAGGAAGACGAGGACGAGGAGGAAGAGAAGGGCGAGGGGAATCGAGCTTGTATTTGCGAGAAAGCCGTTATCGTGGCACAAGGGGGAGAAAGAGATGATGATGGCGCTTGCTCGTTCCGGGAATAAGGCGCCAACAGAGCTTTTTCGCGTGCGCGGATGTAATGTCAAACAAATGGCGTGATTGTCGACGGCGGCGACTTGTCGACGCGAGATAAGTGAAATAGTTCAGTAATGAGGTTGTAATTCACTTGCATAATGTGCCGATCAACTTTGTCTCTCTCGATATATATTCATTATCGCATACATTCCCTCACTCTCTCTCTCGCTCGCGCGCGCTCGACATAGATTTTCATGACGAGGCAATCGGGTCGTACCGTATTAATCACATGAAAATACCTCGCACCTATATACTCGAGAACGAAAACTGTGTAATTTACTTTCCCGCGCGTTGGATAAAATCTAAGTGTACTGGCGAATTAAAACGTCGACGCGTTCAGCTGGCAGACACGAGAGAGCCTTTTCGTGGAATAACAGCCGATCGTTCGAACGCCAATCGCTTTCCTTTCTTCCCCGTTGGCTGCGAACGTTGGCCCATTTCGTTCCGCAAACGAGAAAAATCGAGCTTTACCTGCGTTCCTCATAGTTTTCCTATCACGACTGCAAATCGGGCATTGAACGCTCGCCACGCAAATTCATAAACGCCAAAGCAAATCCTCGAATAATAATGCATCGCAACAGCGCCAGCGAGAATGCGAATGACAAAGTTTATAGGGCTGTTAGAAACGCCGAGGATTTTTCGTCGTTCGGTAACCAGTTGTACCGGTATGCAAGTCAGTATAACCGATTTCACAATGGCAATTAATTGACGCGAAAAAGTGACGAAAAAATGTCTGGCACGCACACGCGGACGAACGCGCGATAGCCGTAATACAGACGAGGTGGTGCAGGCGCGCAAGAGAAAGTGACCGTTGGCAGCTGACTCGTGGCGCCATTAAACGCGAGAACAATGCGTCGGGTCGAAGAGACAAAACAACAAAAAAAAAACAAAGAAACAACAAAAAAGTTAGGGAAAGAAATTGCATTCTCGCGCGCGTGGTAGATTAGATTGGCACGCCGCGCCGGCAATTCAGCGAGGTACGCGTGGTCGCTCGAGAGCCTTGTAAATAGCGAATTGTCGCGCGCGCCATTCCGAGTTTGCGTTTCGGAGCGCCGGCCAAGCAGTAATAATCGGGGGTTGGATTGGAAAAATGATATCGGAGTAACGATGTAGATCGAGCGAGCCGTGGGCGCGCGCCCGTTGCGTAGGAAAGCCGCGTGCGTGCCGATATTCGCGTTTCAATCGTAACGTTTCCAGCGGCCAAGTTTATCCTTTCGGGCACGATTGTTGCACGCGAAAATGAAGCCGTGGCGTATTATACCTGGGCCGCGCTTGCACGAGAGAGATGTTACGAAAATAACTCAGCGGCCGTAGCCTTTGTGTGCTATCAATTTTGAAACACTTCTGTTTGTTTGCGCGCGCGCTCGCTGTATTTGCGAAAAATGTTCCCTTGTACTCGGCTTCGACTGCGCGCTACTGTTCTCCCGACTTTTCAGGGTCAACTTCGGCTACGCTTTGCCGAGCGCGTTCGTGCCAACGTTGGCGACAGCGCAAGGGTTTCTCGAGTAACGCGCGCTTGTGTATCTTTGGTCGTCCATCTGGAGATCGGCCCTGAAGCGTTAACTTGCTGAGCCCCCGCAAAAGCGGTAAGCGAAGCCGATCGATCCCAGACGCGCGCTATTTCCAGCGCGGCGAATGCCCCCAAAAGAACAAGCTTTTGTTTTCCGCGACCGTCGCACATCTTGATAAACTGTTGTTTGCTCGTCCCTCCTTCCTATCCACCGATTATCCAAATAGAGTCGCTCAGGCTTATTTTCGCAGCCCGGACAACGGCGAAATTTCGCATCGAGGTCGACGCGCTGTAATGTCACTTATACCGAGAGATACGTATGGGAATCTTGTGTTTCCGTCTCCGATGAGATCAGCTCTCCACTGTTCGATGCTGGGAAAAAGGGTTTAATTTTTTTGCCTCGCGCGTGCGCTCGTAGTCATAAATACGAATTCCAATGGGCGTTGCGCGACAACGACGACGTAAAGTTCAACGATCGGCCGAAGTAGTGTGTGTGTGTGTGTGTGCGCGCGCGCGCGCGCGTTCACCGCGCCAGTCTTTATAAGAGCGAATGATGTAAAAGTTGGCAGATTTTTTGAAGAAGCTCCTCAAATGACTGTTGCTATACATTGAAACACGTGTCGACGCCAAAGCGATTTATTGTCGACAGCTGATTAGCGTGTGAACAGTGACACACACGCAAAATTTCTTCGAGCCGGCAAAAAAAAACCGGAAAACACATGTTAACATCAATGAAGGAAGAAAAAAACAAAAGTAGCGGAGCGTATGGGTTGTGATACGAGAAAAATATACATTGCGCGCAAGAATTGCGAAGAAACGATGTCGTGAGATAAAAAAGAAAACGAGGAACGACAGCGATATATGTTATATCGGAGAGAGAAGAGGTTACCTGACCTACTGGGAAAAATTCAAGGGTATACCGCTGATCGTCGCGCGAGCGCGCATATGCAGTATACGCACGACACGACTATATACGCGCGAAGCAAGCGCTGCAGAAAAAAGCGAAAAAATAAAAGGTAGATGGAAAGAACGCTTACCAGGCGAAACGATCATCCGACACCTCCGCGTCGACGACCACTGTATACGTTTCCCTATAAGATTGGCCGATGGCTTATCCGCCACCGCCAGATTCATCGTTTCGACGGTTTGTTGCAAGCGCATTTGGTAAACGCACCCAATATCGGATTTCAAATTGGCAAACGGCGATATGCCGAGATTGAGAGTGCTCTCTTGAAAAATATTAAGAAAAAGATCGAATCGTAAATCGAACGGTTGCCCCACGATAGGGCGACGTAGATTAGTGTTTGGGACAAAAAAAAATATGGGAGTCGCCGGCGAAAAACTTCTGCGCGTTTTTCCTGCCAGAGGCGCACAAATCATTCGCTTGGCGACAATCCCACGAGGAAAGTGCTCGCTCGAGTTTGATCGAGAGAGCGCTAATAAAAACAGCTAATTTCCGAGCAGTGAACCTTGACAATGAAAGTCCAGAGTGCGCGCGCGTGCGTGCGCTCGCTTCGAAGTCGTTTCTCGGCCGAGAAATGCTTGCAGAGCGTATTCCAAGTACGTATAGAGTCTGGCGCTCGGGAGAGACACGTACACCTAAATATATACGTGACGCGACGACGACGTGCCGTCTGGATTGATTTGGAGCGGCTTGAAAGACACGTGGCCAGTCCACTATTATATCCCAGATAAAGAAAAGTCAAGTTGGCAGACAGCTTGGCACGTGAATATTAAAGTAATCAATTGGCATGTTCCCGACGGCAATTAATCATTCTAGCCGAGGAAGCATTCGGCGAATCCGTGCAGCAGCAGCAGCAGCAGCAGCACGTAACCGGAGCACGGCGAAGCTTGGCGCGTCCTCGTCAAAAATGCAACTCGGCGAAAAAAAAGCGAGAGCAGGAGTGAGAGAGACAGACAGAGAGCGAGAGAGAGACAGCGTCGTTACATATACGCGTGTGCCTTCGCGCGATCGATTTGTCACGCGCTAGCCGTTTTAATTGTCCGCGCACGGCGCACTCCTAGAGCAATAGCGGCGAAAGAGAGAAAGAGAGAGAGAGAGAAGCGAACGCTTTTGCGCGCGCAGACGCGTACGCAACGCCTACCAAACTGGTTCTCTCTCTCTCTGTGGCGAACTGGTTTTCCAAGCGCTCAGAGGAAAATTCGTCCCCGTGGGCGCGTACACCCTTTTTGCTCTTCGGGCGGAGGGATGCCATGGGAACTTGAAAGTCAAGTGCGCGAGGAGAGCAGATCGATTAGCAAGTAATTGCTGCGTTGCGCGTGCGATCGCTTATTACGTAAAGACTTTACGGCTGTTTTCGCGCGCGAGCGCCGACTCGGCATTTCCCATTAAGAACCGCGAAAGATTTCTCACGCGCCCTTTCGCCGCCTTATGCCCGCGCTGATAAGAACTGTCGCCGCCGCGCGAGCGCGTCGTCGTTGACACTCGCTATGTGCACCCCCTTCTAATTGAGCCAGTTATCGCGCTGCGAGTCACGCGTTGCGCGAGGGCTTGGGGGATTTAGCAAAAGGACCAATTTAGCAGGCGATTAGATAGAGACTATTTTTCTCCCGTGTCGACTTAGCGAGCGCGACTCATTGAAAAATACACACGTAAGCGCGCGCGCGCGTGGCGCGAGCTTTTGAGTGAGATATCTCTCTCCTGTCGGCACTAAGGTGCAGCCGATTTTATCGTCTGAAATAGTAGACATTTGTCTGCGCTGATAATCGCCTCACAAGCGAACAATCACATATATGTGCAACGTGACGCGAGGATTGAGCAAAGCGCCTAGTATTAACCGTTTCGGACACGTGGATTTCTAAGGTCGTGCGCGCCAAACATTACGGACAGCGTGAAACCAATGCGCTCTCCTCTCTCCTCCCCGTGGTCGTCGCCACTATCTCGTTGACGTACGAGCGCCACAACGGACAAGTTGTCGTGGACGCCAAACAATTGCAGTCTGACCAGTCGGAGTCATTATTTGGCCGAGAAAGGCTACGCCAAACGCGAGAAATGGGCATACCTTCGGTCTCGACGTGCTGTAAGAGGTCTCTAGTGTACACGGGCATCTGCTTCTGCTGCTGTTGCTGCTGCTGCCTCCTCATCGCGACGGTCGTAGCAGGCGCAGCAGTGGCGTTGGCATCGAGCTCGCGGGCACCGCCGGCTGACCCGGTCCACAGGACGACGACGAGCGCCACGAGTAGAGCGAGCGCCAGTCCGACCACCACCTCGGCGAATCGCTGGCTCCTGCAGCTGCCCATTGTGCACGTCTATTTCTCGGTCTCGCTCTCGCTCCGCGCCTCTCTGTCGGGCTGCCTATTAGGCGCTCTCCCTGTAAAAACCAGTGCCTGAGCGTCTTCGCTTCGCGGAATTGCATAAGCGATTCAATTACCTCGAAGATCGGAGCGGCGGCGCACGAGGAACGCGGATCATCTTTGCCGCATGGACGGGCGCCGTCGCTCCGCCGATCCAATTAGTCTCCCTCCTCGCTGGTTCGCTTTGCCGTTGCCGGGCAGATTTGTACGACGAGTGGCTTGTTTCTTTTCCTTGTTTTCTCTTCTCTCGTGTGGCGTGTCAGCGGGCGTCGAGTCACGAGCTGCCTGTATTATTGGACAGATTGAAAAAGCTATTCAAGAGGATTTTGTTGCTTCGAGGAGCGCGCCCGTCCGTATCTACGTTTCACTTCCTTTTTGGCTCAGTTTCAACCGACTTTTCAGCTTCAAGCGCCCCGAAGAGTGCGCGCGCGGCCGTTTGTATTTGTATTGCGCGCGACACGCAATAAACGACCGGGGCAACAAGTTTAACGGTAGTCTATAAAACAGGGCCCCGCGACAAGTCAAAGTCTGCTGCGTGCCCAGTTGAATGGGCCATGCAGTTCGATTCGTATATTTATGCGATAGACCGACGATTTTACGCGCGACTGCGGTCTTTCATCAACTCGACTTGACGCACAGTTTCTTTTTCATTTTTATTCATTGAAATAAGTCTTAGTCGCGCTACAAGAAGTATGATATCAATCTATATAAAGTGTCGGAAACATGACTCACACGACATTTTGTAATATCATTATGTTTAAAAAGTGACACTACCACTCGCCTCCGTGGGATGTTCAGCCAACAAAGAAATAGTACAATCGCGCGTCGTGAAAAAGAACGCAATATCCATCGGCAGCTCGATCAAAGTCAAACTTGAAAGCACATTCGTTCGCCAGAGAAAAAAATTGAAGATAATTATGCCTTAAAATTAGATAGCCATCGGCTATAACAGCAGTCGTAGAAAAACTTTCCCTCCTCGGCCGATGCAGCATCAACTAAGTCTACCCACACAAGGTCTCGCCAGCTATTTCCATCGAACAATGGTACTTTCTGACTTCTCCGTTCTTATAATGTATCTCTTTCTCTCTCTCTCTCTCTTGCAAAAGCAAGTAAAAATATTTCGACGCGTAAGTGTAGCAGCAGCGTTAATATTAGCTTTTGTCAAACAAATATTTTCAAAGAACACACCGCGCACGTTAATCCTTTGTTGCAGCATTGTTTTGACATTCGCTTGCGCCACGAATTACCCTCGCATACAAATTAGCCTCCTCGACGTAGAATTAGCGTCTAATTTGCGGAAGGAGGAGAAAAAGGAGCCGCTTAGCTGAAAAGTCATAAATCGTCGCTCATCTTCCGGCCAATTAGGGTCGCGGTGTTTCTTTCCGCGCGTCGGTGGTGACGCGAGAGCCCTTATCTACGTTTTTTTTTCTATCTCTGTGTCTTGGCAGACATTTATTCTGACGGCAATGTGTATTTATAAAGACTCTTACACCATTCGCGATTGCGGCCCCGAAAAAAAGGAAGAAAGAAGAGCGCGAGAGCCTTCATCTTCATTTTTTTTATCGAAGCTTGTCTCTGTTGATCTAGTTGTTTGATGATGCAATCACAAGAAAAAAAATACATATAGTTAAGAGGTCAGCGTACTCCATGTGAATGAACTTTTCTCTCAGAATTCCGAAATTCATTCCAACATCCTCACTCAATTAGTCTCATTCATTCATCTATTCGCGGAATGGTCATAAATTCATCAATCGTTGTCGCTTTTCGACAACGCGAACTTGTTTTTGTTACCCAGTAGTGGTAGGCCGGTTATTAACTGTTACCGCACGCTCGATATTTGTGCCTCGATTGATTAGCATCGCCGAGCAATATTTCCAGAGGTAATAATGAACAAAGCGGTGCGCGCATACACGTGTAATGAACAGCCTATCGTTGAGTACAATGAAAAACGAGCTTTTTCTCGATGCCAATTAATGTTACTCGTTGTGGCGATTACTCAGCACAAACATTTTCTCATATTTTTTGCTTTGTTTCGAATTTGAAAATTGAGCGATTATCAGTAAGGTGCGAAGGAGATTGATGGGAGGGGGCTCGATCATTTTCTGCGGCGACATGGGCGGCCGACGCACTTTGTATGCGGGTAATTTTCGTTGTCAGCTCCAGAGATGCAAGGGGGCCATTTGTTTATTTTTCACCGTTCAACCGGTCTATCAAGCTCGCTTGCACAGATTATTGCGCCACGACGACGCTTCGGTAACTTTGCCGTGAAAAAGGATCAACGCATCCGCATTGCGCCTCCTTCGCTCAAGCTGTGTTTAAAGGCTGAGTGTTTTTTTTGATGATTTCATAGCAGACTTTAAGCAGCTGCAACTATGCTAAGCTGGGTTCTATAATTTACAACCTTTGTCCTCTCTCGCGCGAGCGCACGACAAACAAAAATACTCAACGCAGATAAAAGTCGTTGTAAAGCAAAGTAATTTGTAGAAAAACAGCGCTAATAAAAATTGTCGGGCGTTCGTCTGTGACAAAGGTCGCGAATAGCAAGTAAAAGAGTAAAGTCAAAGAAAAATAAAATTGGTCTGTCGCGCGAACGGTGAAGAAGAAGTTGAGATCAATGACAGAGTATAGCGAGCTGACTCACACGAGGCATTTGCATTCAACAAAGCACACCTCCCATCTCTAATGAAGAAATTTAGCTGTCTTGGCAGATACTTCCCCCCCCCTCCCTCCCTCCCTCTCATGCACGTGAAGCTTGTAAGTTCCGGTTTCTCTCGCGTGCGTTGGAATAATTATCATCCTACAACGGCAATTACCTATCGCACGCGTGTACACGCAGTTTGCGGAATAGCGCAGCGCTTCCTCGTTTCATTCCCTCCTTCATGATCCGAAAGGAGACATCACGAATCGATTATTTGCTAATCATTTTGTAACGATCGTGAGCGCGAAGAATATGCTGTACGTCACATATCGTACACAACAAAATGCCATAAATAACCGCGCGAGCGAAATGACACTCCCGATTATTTGTTGTCGCGGTAAGGCAGCTGTTAGTCTCTCACCCGTACGTTATGTATTATTTACAGCTTGTACTTTTGGCGCGCTAATAAACGTCGCTAGTGATTTTTTTACGGCGGGATTAATGTTTTTTTTGCCCTCTCACCGCAATAGACTTGCGAGCGCAAGGAATTAGCCAACAAACGTTCCTCGCACTTTAATTTACGCACCTTTAAACGCTGATGCTCGCGAGAGTGTAAAGATTGAACGGTCGAGATTGCGTCCAATTGACTGAGCTCGCGTGCGTTGATTGATCGATCCGCTGGATGATGAAAAAACAATTTCGTTTAGTCGTGTGTGTGTGGGTGAGATCCACTACTTTTTCACTTCCTTTTCTCTTGTGGAGAAACATTATTCATCGCATTGGCCAGTTAGCGCAAGCGGATGGTCGCCTGTTAGCCGCGACAGACAAAGGATATATTCACATGACTACCGGCTACCTATAAATGGCTCCTGAGAGGACTTTTCCTTGATTAATTGATCGACATTTGCGAAAATATCGTTACTCAAGGATATACATATATATATATATATATATATATATATATATATATATATATATATATATATATATATATATACACACATACATTGCTTTGTACACGCGCGGTTCACTTTATAGATTGCAATCTTTAATACACACCGTGGTGATAAATTAAAGCTACAGGCAAGAAAATCGTTGAGGTGATTTTCTATATAATTTAGTTGTGCAAGATTTATTATACTCGGGCTTGTACTTCTTTTCGTATGGAAATTCGCGCTCGGAAGATTTTCCACGTACCAGTTGTGTTTCTTAGTGCGCATGAAGGCAACAGTTAGCATTGCATAAATAAAGTGACTTATTAAAAATGAGGCTGTGTATGTGCGACTAAATTGTAGATTAATTTCAATTTGCTTCTTTGTTGACTTTTCGAACGAGCAGCCAAGCAGCGTTTGCCTCACGGTCACAAACGAAAATTGTACTCAAGGCGAATGAAGCGACGACTCGGGAAAAGAAATGAGACGCCAAGCTTCAGCGCTATCGTTGCATAAATCAACGTGCACTCGTGCGAATAGAGGCGAGCTCAAAAATGTATCAGTTGACGACGACGGCACCGGTCGGAGAAGCAAATATCCAAGCCAGACGAGTACGAGAAGAGGAGGAGGAGGAGGAGGAGGAGGAGGAGGAGGAGGAGGAGGAGGAGGAGGAGGAGGAGGAGGAGGAGGAGGAGGAGGAGGAGGAGGAGGAGGAGGAGGAGGAGGAGGAGGAGGAGGAGGAGGACGACGACGACGACGACGACGAAGAAGACACACACCCATCGTCCCGGTGGGATAGGTGAGGTCGAATTTTGGGTGGTTGACTTGATCGAGAGCACACGGCTACTCGCGAAAGATTATTTCGAGTTGTGCGCGCGCGCGGCGCTTATTAAACATGCGCGCGCGAGCCCGCTGGCAGCGGTTCAAGCGCGGCGTAAGCCCCGGTTTCCGGCTATTATATTTATACGCTTAATTTGAAGTTATAATTGCGCGCTCGGCGCGACGACGATGGCGATGAGAGAGGCCTCAAGTTATCAGCAGTGCAAATACGAGGCACGCGCGTGACGCGCGGTTTTTCCTCGGCAAAAAGGAAGAAAAAAGCGCGATAAAGCCGTCGGAAAAGTCGGTTATCGCCGTGGCTGCCCTCTCCCCTTCGCGGCCGCGGCTCAGTGCTTCGCGCGTAATTCAATTATACACTTTGCCGGCGCTGCGGCGATAAGCCTCGAGGATCGCGAACTGCGAGCGACATCGTCGACGTGGAATCGGCCGGCGCAGCCGGCGCGCGAGCAGTAAGCGCCGCTGACGGAGCCGCCGCGACACAAGGATCGGCACTGTTGTTACGGCGCGACGACGAGAGCACTCTCGGGCGACGATGTTTATTTTATCGCCAGTCTGCGCGCGCACGAGAGAGAGAGAGAGAGAGAGAGAGAGAGAGAGAGAGAGAGAGAGAGGTGCCCCTGACGCAAGCATCTCTTTTATTATTGTTTGCGGACGGCCGTAAACTGCGGATTTGCATCCCTAATGATCGGACGCGCACTCGGCCTTGCCTCTATTGTTGGTTTTTCGCCGCGATCACGAGGCCTACATATGCTCGCGCGCGCTACCGCCGCTTTTTCGTGCGAACCATTATTCACTCGGCGGACAGTGTTTCGCTGCGTTTAATAGAGTGCCGTTCGATTTACGACGCCGACTCCATTCGATTCGCACGCGTTGAC